CAAATGTTCCATCAAAATACACCTCTCTTTTTCCATGTAAAGTAACGTGTCCTTCGGTTTTAATTAATTTAAGAAACCCTGCTCTAAAAGGCCAGCTTCAGCCTACAAAACTTTCATAACTACATACTATCAGAAAGGAAATTCAATCACATAAACGCAGGGGGCAGGGCCTTTTTGCTAATGGCACCTGCACTGTGGAATGCAGGAGTCATCAGGAGATTTGCCTGGCACCTATTTTGAAGCCCTTGTTGGCAGACAAAGACCACTTCATTTTCCCAAGCCTTTGGTGTAGAATAAAAGGCTCGGGAAAATATGCCTGTGAGGTCCTTATCTCTTGTGAGGCTCATTTTAGATTTTGGACCTGGCTGTTTTTAGCCTCTAGTGCTTTAAAATGCTTTTTCACATTGTACTTTTGATTCAGTATTTGTAAGCCACGCTGGGAATTCATCTGAAGGGCAGGATATGAATTCTTAAACAAAGTAAATAAAATCAGTAATTCCATGGATTATCCTTGGCTCCCTGCAGAACTTTCTTGACCTTCGCCTCCCTTTGAGTTCAGGTCCACATTACGCTTACAGTGTGCAAGCAACAAGCAAAGCAGACCATCTCTACACAGAGAAAGTCAGAAGGGCTCTGAATCTCACACATGAGGAACGGAGGGCTGACTTTTCTGTCCTGTCCATTTTTTCCTCTGTCCCCCGTGGTTCATTTCCCCTTCAGTTTGGGAGGAGGCGAAGCAGGAAAAAGTAGCCATTAAAAGGAGAGATAAACAGGGATTTGCTATGGGGTGGGTCCAGAGTAGAATAATTAGTTTGCAAAAGGGATTGAGAATCAGTAGAGTCTTCCCCCTACAGTAGGGGTGGCAAATCTTTGGTACTCTGGATGTTACTAGAATACACCTCCCATCATCAGTGACTACAGTCCATAACAGCTGGACCTGATGAGAGTTGGTGCCCAACATCTGGAGAGCCACAGTTTAGACACCCCTGTACTAGAAGAAAGATGGTGCATTTCCATATTCCCTCTGCAGCCTGCCATGCCAGAAGTCAGGGGCATAAGTGTGGGGGAGCAGGGAGGCAGTTGCCCCGGGGGCACAATTTTGAGGAGACACAACCAGGAGCCCCAGTGCAGGTAGGTAAGGGAGTGGAATTTGCAGTGACACGTGCAACCTGTCAGACCACTGCAGACTGGCTGCTCCAACGGCATCGGGGGTGAGGGATGGGCTGGCACGGTGGGCTCCCTTCACCCTCTGTGTCCGCTCCCCCACTGCCCTGGGCACTGGTAACCCACTCTATGCCACTGCCACAAGCGGCTGCAGGGAGCAAGGTAAAGGTAAAGGGACCCCTGACCATTAGGTTCAGTCGTGACCGACTCTGGGGTTGCGGTGCTCATCTTGCTTTATTGGCCAAGAAACCCGCATACAGCTTCCGGGTCATGTGGCCAGCAGGACTAAGCCGCTTCTGGCGAACCAGAGCAGCACACGGAAACGCCGTTTACCTTCCCCTGGAGCGGTACCTATTTATCTACTTGCACTTTGATGTGCTTTCGAACTGCTAGGTTGGCAGGAGCAGGGACCGAGCAACCAGAGCTCACCCCGTCGTGGGGATTCGAACCACCGACCTTCTGATCGGCAAGTCCTAGGCTCTGTGGTTTAACCCACAGCGCCACCTGCGGCAGGGAGCAAGAGGAATGAGCAAAACATGTCTCCATCCACTTCCTCCTGCGAGAGCCTGAAATGAGCAGCACCCTGCTCTTGGGAACTCTGGATTCAAGACAGGAGATGAAAGGCAGCCTGTGGTTTGTCTTGCTTTGTGTGTGCAATTGCATCTCCCTCCAGCATTCTCTGCCTGTGGGCAGGGAAAGCTACAGTATTCTCAATGGGCAGAGTCAGGTTGCTCTGACATGATGAGCATCAGTGAAGGAGGTGGAATAAATACTTCACTCCACAACCTGGATCCCTATTTATTTTGCCAATTGTTTTAACACACACTTAAAAAAAAAAACTATAACAAAATAAACTTGGGAATCAAACGCAGAAAAGAGCAGGAGGAAGGCAGCATTAAATCTGTAGAAGGCTAAGAGGTGAGAGCAAAGTGAAGGGAAATGCACTCAGATCCGGTCACAAGTGAAGGTTTAATATCAGCTGAAAATTGGTTTTGCAGAACATTAGACAGTGTCGCCCTTGGTTTTATTCCCACAAATGCAATTTGGCATGTGTTCCAGTTGAAAATGCAGGCACTGGCAATTGCAGTTGGGTGGCATTCTTGCAATTACGATAGTAGCTGACTTTTTTTTTTGCAATTGGGGAAAGTAATGGGGAAATATACTTGAAAGTGTGGGATAACCGAATGATTAGTGGGAAGATGCATAAACACTGCACAAGCAAATCCGGATGAATACAGCTCATTGCTGTATCACCTCCCCACAAACAGATTTGAATGAATGCTCAATAAGGACCTGGATATAGTACAACCTTCACATAAGCATATCAGGATGAATGCTCAACGAAGAGCATGTCTGGAAGAGCCCCATGACAGGCAAACCTTCGAGGATTTCTATTTCACTCACTGCACATGATTCCTCACAATCTGTTGCCCTGATTTACACGGCCCCTTTGCTCCATAGCCAAGTGTCCAAACTCTTGCAAATAAGTGGGTGCTAATGTGCTCATTACGTATGGAAGTGAGAGCTGGACCATAAAGAAGGCTGATCGCCGAAGAATTGATGCTTTTGAATTCTGGTGCTGGAGGAGACTCTTGAGAGTCCCATGGACTGCAAGAAGATCAAACCTATCCATTCTGAAGGAAATCAGCCCTGAGTGCTCACTGGAAGGACAGATCGTGAAGCTGAGGCTCCAATACTTTGGCCACCTCATGAGAAGAGAAGACTCCCTGGAAAAGACCCTGATGTTGGGAAAGATTGAGGACACAAGGAGAAGGGGACGACAGAGGACGAGATGGTTGGACAGTGTTCTCGAAGCTGCGAACATGAATTTGGCCAAACTGCGGGAGGCAGTGGAAGACAGGAGTGCCTGGCGTGCTCTGGTCCATGGGGTCACGATGAGTCGGACACGACTAAACAACTAAACAACAACGTGCTCATTGACAGATCAGGCAAACCAGAAGTTTTCACTCTTTCCAGAGCTCGGTGCTCAGCCTTCTGTATCTCAGTTAGGGCATGCCTTGCAGCTCCTATAAGAGATTTTTCACTTTTACCTTCTCCAGCAGCTTTGTTCTCTTTCTTCCAAGCAGAGAAGCAGCACTCCAACACTCTATTCAACTTAGCAGTGTTCACAGTGGATTCTAAAATGCAGCCGTCTTGCTTCACATAAAATGGGGTCTCTCCTTCACTAGATACCTCCCATGTGGCCAATGTGAGCCAATCACATGAGATCTACTACAGAACTCTCTAGAATTCAGTTACCGACCAATCAAATTTAAACATACAATACAGTGGTACCTTGGTTCTAAAAACGCCTTGGTACTCAAACAACTTGGAACCCAAACACTGCAAACCCAGAAGTGTGGCAGTTTTGCAAACTTTTTCAGAAGTCAAACATGCTCCACTTTGAGTGTTATGCTTCTGATTTAAGTGTTATGCTTCTGTTTTGAGAGTTACGCTTCTGATTTGATTGCCACACTTCCGTTTTGAGTGTTACACTGAGGTCTGTCTGTTTTTGCTATTTATTTTGCGTTTTTGTTTTAGCGGCTCTTTTTTGTTTTTTTGCCTGTGTGGAACCCAGTTCAGCTACTGATTGATCGATACATTGTTTATGGCTTTCATTTTATGGATCAGTGGTCTTGTTAGATAGTAAAATTCATGTTAAATAGCTGTTTTGGGAGTTGTTTTTAAAAGTCTGGAACGGATTAATCCTTTTTGCTTTACTTTCTATGGGAAAGCACGCCTTTGTTTTGGAACGGACTTCTGGAACGGATTAAGTTTGAGAACCAAGGTACCACTGTAATGCATGCAAGCATTTGCAATTTCAGTGAATTAAAACACTATACTTAACAAGGCACCTTAGCAGCCCCTGCTGCCCATGGAGATGATCTGCTGTTGAAGCAACTGGGGAATTGGCATGTCCAGAACACTGCTTGCTTGCCTGCGGCAGTGTATGTGGGTTGTAAATCAGAGCAATAGATTGTGAAGGGATCAGGTGCTGCGAGCTTTGGGTATCTTGGAAACATACCCATGAAATAAAATTTGCCAAAGTTGCTTGGATCTTGCTTGCTCGGTCTCTTTCATTAAAAAAAAATAAAAATACATCAAAAAACTCTTGAGTTTACCTGAAGCAGAGTGGGTAGCCACAACATGTAAAGGTTACAGTTAATGGATTTTTGAGGGCCAATTGCTCCAGGGAGTCTTGTTCACCCGACGGTTGTTCTTTGCAGTTTTATATTGCCAAAGCCCCAGGGGTTGAGGACTCTTAATAGTGTGATATTAAACCATCCTCTAATACGGTCTTAGCGATGCTCAGAACCTACGATGAACTGGTAACAGCCGACTCAGCAGATGAGGCTGTATCACTTTGCCCCCAAAGCACAGGAAACCTTAAGAGGGTGCTGACCGCGAAGCAAAGTGAAAAGCTGCAAAATTTGCATAAAGTGGAGCCGAGCCAAAATCCTATCACTTTGCATGGTTTCCTTCGTTATTCACGTTTTTTTGGGTGGCAGAAATCATTTCCTTCCAATGCTCAGGGAAGGCACTAGGTGTGGGGGCACCGTCAAGAAGGCAGTGTGGTGGGCAGGCTGCCAGTGCAGTTGTTGCTGCTGCTGACCTTTGCAGTGGCAACACACACACACACACACACACACACACACACACACAGACACCATTTTGGGGGGTATGGGAGCTGTGCTACTATCACTGTTAATGCTGAGCCCCAGAGAAACTATTAGAAAATTTCTTCTTGCCCAGAGGATTTGGGTGAAAAGGGTCCTCCTGATTTCTGTGCTTGCAAATAAAGTAGGAAATTTCAAGAGACCAGATGGAAACAGCTGTGGCATGAACAGAAACAACGTGGCATTTTATTTTTATTTATTTAATTTGCAAGGGTGCCGTTTGCAAAATGGGAAGAGAAAGGCTGGCGTTAGGACTTTTAGATAAAGCATAGTCACAGATCACTGGTATGAACAGAAAAAAAAGCATGATATTTACAGGTTAATATTTTACAAAGCAATTCATTTACTAGGGCAAAAGCACACCTGCAATGCGTGTTCTGCAAATATTTTAACCCTGCCCCCTTTTTTTCTTTACATCTTTTGTAGGGTTTGTTTTGTCACGGAGGTGTTGCGGGGAGAAGATGGCAATGCAGCCCTGGCACACACATTCAGGCAACCTTCACCATCCCTCTTCCCAACATCTGGTATGTAGGCAGAAGAAGCTGGCATCAGGCTGCGTCAGCCATACTTCATTATATTCCCTTTGCAGTACCAACTGATTGTAAGGAAGAAGATCTAATTTTGAAACAGACAAAAATGCTGCAGTCGACTGAAGAATCAAACAGCAGAAAACTGGTGCAAAAAGAGGCAAACTTCTTGGGGGATTTTAGAAACCCTTCCCACCTTTGTCACACTGAAAATGTATGCTGGAGACCACCTGATTCAGCCCCAACATTGATTTTAAAAATTTCTTACAAAGTTCCTTCTTTGCACCGTAGAAGTAAATCAAAGTGAAGTGTTTTCTTTTCCCTTCATCCCATATTATCCCTGCACCTCACATCTCATGCATTTCCTTGCATATCATTTTGAAACGTGGCTGAAATGCGGGTTTTGAACACCCCCGTTTCTCCCAATGGAGTACTCAAATATGCACACATGCCATCAGAAACCACAATCCAGCAATTTTCGAGGCAATGATTATTGAGCTCTAAGTGTCAATACTGCTGTAGGAATCAATCAAAGATCTCCTGATTTCACCTGGAGATGGTAAGAGTACTATTTGCCTCAAATAAGAAGATAGCAAAATGGCATACATTAATTCCTGTCAGTGTCTCCATGCTACTCATTGCCCTAACCCTATGGCACGATGCCTGCTTCCATCTGAACAGTGCCCCGTTTATTAATTTCTGATGATTCAAGTAAAACCATTCTTTGATGTCACACGGAGGCATCTTCAGAAGCCTTCAGCTGGTCTTCAAAATAGAGGAGCTGATCTACTTCAAAGCAGTCACTTGCCCGAGACACCATTTTTTCCAGGTATTCTCTGATTTCATTTTCACTTGCATTCTGCTTTCTTGCTCGTTGCAGGAATTCATAAACTTTTTCAAAGGTTTCTGTTCCCAGTTTCTGAATGGCTGACCTGTCGACAGAAAACGAACGCCAGCAAGTGAGCTGGATTATAAATAACGTATAGAAGTCCATCATTTACTATAATTGGACAGATATTGTATCTGGCAACTTTCTATAGCACTTTAACAAAATGTGTGTGTGTGTGGAATACTAATGCATGCATCACAACACACACACAACATATATGGAGAAAATATTGACATCTGATTCAGTAAGATACTTTTATCACAACACCAGCTTCTACATGCATATATATTTACAGCCTCTGGATTATATAAAAAGGCACTGAACAATTTTCATGGAGTAAGTAGATAGCACAGCCATGCTTCATAAATCATCCTTTAGACGCTTACCAAAAGAGAGGAAGACTGTAGTTCACCACAAAGTGGAAATGGCATTTGTCTTCTGAAAACAGAATCTCCTCTCTTTTAAAATCTAATACAGTGGTACCTTGGTTTAAGAACAGTCCTGCTTACAAATGATTCAGTTACGAGCTCCGCAAAATGGGTAGTAGTGTTCCGGTTTGCGAACTTTACCTCAGTCTACAAACGGAAACTGAACGGTGGAAGGGCACTGGCGGCAGGAGGCCTCATTAGGGAAAGCGCACCTCAGTTTAAGAATGGTAGGTTTAAGAACAGACTTCAGGAACGGATTAATTTCGTAAAATGAGGTACTAGTGTATATGCATGCTTCATTAATGAAAATTATACTTGTGCTGTCCTAATAGGACAGAGGGTTTTAGCCGAAGAGAGTGAGACCCTCACCTCAATTCAGTGTAGAGAAGGCAAAAAGATAACACTTCAGTGACCAAATCTAGTACCAGTACTTGGCACCCTCAGGCAAGAAGGCCCAAGAACCCTAGCGGGTTCCACCATGCTTAAAGGTAAAGGGTAAAGGGACCCCTGACCATTAGGTCCAGTCGTGGCCGACTCTGGGGTTGCGGCGCTCATCTCGCTTTAGTGGCCAAAGGAGCCGGCGTACAGCTTCCGGGTCATGTGGCCAGCATGACTAAGCCACTTCTGGCAAACCAGAGCAGCGCACGGAAACGCCGTTTACCTTCCTGCCAAAGCGGTACCTATTTATCTACTTGCACTTTGACGTGCTTTCAAACTGCTAGGTTGGCAGGAGCAGGGACCAAGCAATGGGAGCTCACCCCATCACGGGGATTCGAACCGCTGACCTTCTGATCAGCAAGTCCTAGGCTCTGTGGTTTAACGCACAGAGCCACCCGTGTCCCCCACCATGCTTACATAAGCCCTATTACAGTGGAACCTCGACTTACATCCGCCTCTTCTCACAGACGTTCCAAGTTGTGGCCGTGGCAAACCCGGAAGTAAACACCAGGTTTGCCGCAATTCGCGCATGCGCAGAAGCGGGTTATGCCATCTGTGCATGCGCAAAAGCCGCCGTCGCCGCCTACACATGCGCAGAAGCGCGCTGCCGCCGAATGTGCACACGCACAACAGCGCCTTTACTAGCGTCCGGTTTTGCCCAGCAGATGGGCCTCCAGAACAGATTATGATCGTTAGTAGAGGTTGTACTGTAATTTAATTTTTAAAAAATCGGGGCCAGGTTCTGAGAGGAAAATTGCGTCACGTGGCTGGAGCCACTGACATGCTACTTCTCCCAAAATATTTGTGGCATTGATAACATTACCCTGCAACAACGCTATGTTGTGAACTAGAGGCAACGTGGACAAAGATTGTAGCACTTCCAGCCTCATGGCACAACTTTGGTCCTCTCAGTTCAGGGAAGTGCTATGGGAAGCTGCCAGTGCTGTTCATCCTCCGAGGAAGGGTGGTATATAAACTTTATTATTAATAATAACAATAATACCACCCCTCCATGGGCTGATCGTGGATTGTGTGTCCCACAGCCCCCCAAAAGTGCGGCACCTCTGATATATAGTGTGTATAAGCCATTTGCTCTTTTTTGACCTGCAACATAAATGCCTAGCTAATTTTTAAGAACAGAACAAGGGGAAGGCAAAGAAGGCTGCTCCCTCTTCTGAAGCTTACACACGCACACTCCAAACCCCATTCCTGAAAAATATATGTTTAGAAGTATAATTTTCTACCAAGGATAAAAAGATTTGCTGTCAAATCAATTACATATTACAGTGGAATAATAATGCAGAACACCAGAATAATAGCCTGAGGTTGAAAAGACGCTTATATGTTTGATAGACAGCAATGATGACCGTTTTTCTGTGCCATCAGAACAAACATGAATTAGTGTGTTGAAATAAACTGTGGATTGTTCTGCTGTGATTCCCACTTCAGCCATGGAGTAAGGTTGATTTGGACCCCCCCCCCTCTAGTTCCTAATGGCAGATCTCTATTCCACCCAATCCCGCTTGTTCCTGATGTAGTTGCGTTATTTTCATGTTGCGAACGGGCCTCTGGAACGGATCCCGTTCACAACCAGAGGTACCACTGTATTGAGTTTTGGAATCAAGTAAGGCCACAACTTTATTGGTTACAGATGTGAAAGGTTTGGCCATAGGCATTGAGGTAAGTGATTTCTAAGGGTGAAGCCAGCAGCAGCAGGATGGGGGGAACGTCCTATGACCCACGTCAAATCGGGGCAGGCCCCAAACGGTCCCTGTTGGAGGAGTGGTATGGCCCTAGCCCCCCTCTGGGCATTCAAGCACCACTACTGGTCAGTTGACACCTCGCCCAGGTAACGCCCCCTGGATTCCTGCTGCCGTTGGCCAATTTTGTGGTAGGATTATGATCTGGCTGGCAATAGGCCAGTTTGCAGGGAAGACACCATACCTGCCCACACAAAGTCGCCTGCCCGAAGAGGGCAAACAGACTTAAATTACACTATGAAATTTGCTGATAGAAAGAAAACATACATAAAAGTGATTTATTTCAATGTGGTTATTGGAAAGATTTTATGCCCAAGAACTGGTTAGGGGGGGTTCTCACTGAAATCAATAGTAAAACAACCTTTGAGCTCAACAGGAGCACATTGAAGCTATTTAGAAAGTCTCAACATTATTCTAAGCACTCACATGGACTATGTACTGCTTTGCTACGGAAAGGTAGACTTTTTCTTAGCTAGCTGTCAGCTAATCTTAAAGATCATGCCGTGCTCAATCAATTACTTCAACATGACCTTTCTTTCTGATTTTTTAAGAGACATGGGCATTTGATGCCAACGCCATTGGCCTAAGGGTCTTAAATACATAATCCTTCTGGATCTCAAGCAATAAGAAACATGGGCATTCATGGTGGAAGAACAAAAATATCACAAAATGCCTTTCTTTTGCAGCTTCTGAAAGACAATTTTACTTAGACTCAGCAGGTAATGATGATGCCTTGTGCCTGATCCTGGTGCGCTGCTGAGTGGAAGACACTGGGAACTGAACGAGAAGCAGTCACTGCTGTGCTGCAAAATCTTAATTTACTTACATTTTGGTCCATGAAAGCTTTTCCATTGTACCCATCTACATGTTCTTGAATATTTAAACTGCACTATACAATTCACTGCCATTAAACTCTGAGCTTATTGCATGTATTCTTAGATTTCTTTGTAAAAAGAACATGAGATGCCATGTATTTAGAGTCATTTTCCTCCCTTTCTTTTGATTCCATCACTGAAAGAGAGTGGTATAAATGCCTAAGCCGATTATGCAAGTTTTGTTATTCTGTAGTCAGGCACACACAAGGGCCCAAATCATGAAGCCACAGATAAGTCCCAAGAATAAAGTTCAGCTCCCATTAATCAGCCAGGAGGCAGCCAACAGCAGTTTAGAGGACTCAGCTCATGTTGCCTCCCAATGGCTATTGTGTGTCAAGGTCCCAAGCCCTCCCCCATTTGTTGAATAATAAAACACATGGACACCAGTATTTTAGGTTAATGTTCTAATTAAGACCACAACTTTATTGGTTACAGAATGTGAGTGGTATTGGCTTAGGCATTGGAATTGAATCGACTACAGTGGTACCTCTGGTTACATACTTAATTCGTTCCGGAGGTCCGTTCTTAACCTGAAGCTGTTCTTAACCTGAAGCACCACTTTAGCTAATGGGGTCTCCTGCTGCCCCCGCACCGCCGGAGCACGATTTCTGTTCTCATCCTGAAGCAAAGTTCTTAACCCGAGGTACTATTTCTGGGTTAGCGGAGTCTGTAACCTGAAGCGTATGTAACCTGAAGTACCACTGTATATCTGACTCCTGCCCGCCATGCAGGTAGTCCAGTAAGGGTCAACCACCAGTAGGGGAAGGAAGAACCAAGAGGGAAATCCCCTGGTGGCGCAGCTGCTTAGGTACGGTAAGCCACGCCCCCGGCCAACTGGATTGGTCAGCTGGGGGGCATGATGTGGCCGGGACTCCCCTATCACGCAGGGGCACTGCCACGCCCCTGCTGTGCATGGGGAGAGTGTGTGGCCTGCCCGCAACACTGCCCCACAGGAAAGTGGAGCGGCCTTATGCCAATGGTTCTGAAAGGCTTTTAAATGTGGCTCACAGATTTAGAGAGAGAGTGTTATGTTGAACACAACCCTACTCTCCCCACGATGTTGACGGCTGGGGGAGAGGGATTAGGATCTGCATAGGTGCCTGGCCGAGAGCAGTCCCGTTGGTGGGGAGGCTCTGCTGTGGCAGATGCCCCAGCTGTGGGCAAAAACTACTCTCACCAGCAGTAGCAAGCAGGAAGCTTGGGGTGGGACACTGGTAGCTTGGGATTGACTCCATAGCACTCTGCTTCTGCAAGAGATCCATCACTCTGCTTCTCCCCAACAGGATTGCTCTGCCTAGCTGCAATCCTATTCAGTGCCCTTTTCTAGAAAAAGAGAAAACACTTTCCTAGAAAACTCACCTTGTTCTCTTTTAATAGCAATGGTGCCCACCTGAGAGGTTCTGGAACCAGATTTGGTGAGTTCTGGCTGTGGGGGAGGGAGCCCTGGTCCTGTTCCCACTTACTTGGGGAAAAAGTTAATTGAACTCAATGGAGCATACTTCTGAACAGACGTGTATAGGATTGCACGCAGCTGGTATTTAACTCCAAGTAGCCTTGCTAAGATATATAAGACTGAATCGGATAAGTGCTGGAGATGCAAAGAGGTGGAGGGAACGTTTTTTTCATATGTGGTGGACTTGTAAAGGGGTAAAAGAGTATTGGGAAATGATCCATAATGAATTGAAAAATTGTTTAAAAGTACTTCCCCCCCCCCCCCAAAAAACCCAGAATCCTTTCTGTTGGGTATAATTCAGACTGAAATTCCCATGTGTCAAAGAAGGTTATTTATGTATGCTACTACTGCGGCCCGTGTTTTGTTAGCCCAAAAATGGAAAATGAGCAAGGTCTCAACCAAAGAAGGACAGCTTAAGTTGACAGAATATGCACAACTTGCAGACATAACATATAGAATAAGAGAATAAGAAGAACGTACGTTTAGAGAAGATTGGAAAACGTTTATTGAATATATGGGAAATAATTGTGTACAGCTGAAAACACTGGCAGCGTTAAGATAAATTCAACAGGGTAAATAAGTTTTGATGGATGCAATAATGGAATACTGAATGGTATAGGTTTGTAAAATATGCAGGGATTTGTAATATTTAAATGAACCATGGAAAGAGAAGAAGGGAAGTCATTGATATTTTAAGGATGTAAAACGAGTGTTTTAAATTGCAAAACAGAAAATTAAATAACAATTATATACAAAAGAAGGAGGATTGCACACAGTCAAAGAGAGCAGGCAACCTTAAAAGCAGTGTTTTGAACATGGCTATGTAAAGCTGATTGATCAGATTTGCACCGAGATAATAACGCAAAAGGATAAAATTACCAGTTTAGAGACAGGCAGAGACCGACAAGATGATGTCTCACTTCAAAAGAAATGACAGACAATAAGAGAGAAAACATCCTTAAGTAATACGTAACTGCTGCTAGAAAAGATGTGGTTGTAATCTTAATATTCTGGAATCAAAGTTGTTTTTTTTGTTATATGCATGCAAAAACTAGCATCTCTAAAAAGGCAACTTACTCCCTCATGCTCCTCAGCTTGGTTTCAGCCGTGGTGCCGCTCAGCACTCCAGATCGTTCGGGTCCCAGCGGAGTCGCTCTGGTGACAGTCCCAGTGCCTACAGATCAATGCAGAGATGGACAACCTCATTCACCTTGCTCCCCTCAGCCATCACTACAGATCCATAGCGCTATTCAAGGACAATCAAGAAAAGGCTAGCAATTCACCTTTGTCACGGGGAAGCGCTGCCTTGATTAAAGACGAATTAGCTTATTAAATACGCATTAAGGCAACTTGGCTCAGCAGGGACAGCGACGGTTTCAGTATGATAGCACATGCCAGATCTACACCATGTCTTGTAAAAGATGTTTTTGTGAAGGGGGACTCTTATAACGATAGGAGAAACTGCACAAAGAAGCAAATTTGGGTTTTTATTATTTTATTTTTCAGTTTTTCAAATTTCATCAAATATTGAAAGCACAGCTGGAGAAGTAGCAGTCAGAGGATTTTTCTAGAAACCACGAAGATTGGTGGAGCTCCATTGGTGCATGAGGAGTGTGGGAAAAGCAGCTATGCTACAAGTAAACAAATACCTTTGACCAGTTAAAAGGTTAAACTTAATCTTCCCGTCACAGTCTACCTTTAAGACATATGTGTATATGCTTAAGAGTCCAAATACAGATCAAAATCAGTCTTAAGCTATATGATGATGATGTTGTTTTAGTCCACCATGGACATGATGTCTTAATTTAATGGCAAAATATAAAGAATATATATTTGCAGGATGTGTCGCTGTGATCTGCGTAGTCTGCACACTCTTATTCTAGCAATGGATTTTTATCCCTATAATACTTCAGATTCCTTTAACGTGAGATGTTATTAAAGGCATCCTTCTCAGCCTTTCTGGAAAGTTGGACTAAATAACCCATTTTTTTTATTAGGTTTTTGCCTTCGTGCTGGCTATTGGATCAACAAAACCTGTTCCTGATTGCAACATTATTGCCCTCTCCAGTAACGTATGTATCTTGCACAAATAATTTAGCTCAGTTTATAAAGTTAGAAACCAGCTCATTCATTGTTATGGAGCTTTACAGAGATGGGTTGCGTGTGAAGTCTTGGAACGGATTTCTACAAGCACCGTGGGGATTTGGGTTGCGCTCTGTTCATAGACCCTGATTAGTTTCTGCAGCTCTTCCTTAACCCCTTCCCCCTTTTTGTCATATTGTAGCATTACAGTGGTGCCCCGCAAGACGAATGCCTCGCAAGACGAAAAACTCGCTAGACGAAAGAGTTTTCCGTTTTTTGAGTCGTTCCGCAAGACGAATTTCCCTATGGGCTTGCTTCGCAAGACGAAACGTCTTGCGAGTTCTTGCGAGTTTGTTTCCTTTTTCTTAAAGCCGCTAAGCCGTTAATAGCCGCTAAGACGTTAATAGCTGCTAAGCCGCTAATAGCCGTGCTTCGCAAGACGAAAAAACCGCAAGACGAAGAGACTCGTGGAACGGATTAATTTCGTCTTGCGAGGCACCACTGTACACTCCACCACACAGCAGAAGCAGAAAGTGCAGAGAAAACATAGCACCTGAGCCTAGCATGCCACATCCTTTTGCATGTTGGATAGAGTTGCACATGTTTTGCTGTAACTGTTGGAATATATTAACAAACAGAAGGGTGCCTGGGCCACTTTTGCCATCTTGACAGTTAACTATAGCCTGGGCAAGAGTGCTGCTGGATGCTGGTTTGCCCTTAAGTAGAAGTGACCTCTGGACAACAGGGAGAGACTGGATTCACTTTTCTCTTGGTGAAGGGGAGGGAAGTTTGAACTTCGAATCCCCGCGACGGGGTGAGCTCCTGTTGTTCGGTCCCAGCTCCTGCGCACCTAGCAGTTCGAAAGCACGTCAAAGTGCAAATAGATAAATAGGTACCGCTCCGGTGGGAAGGTAAATGGAGTTTCCGTGCACTGCTCTGGTTTCGCCAGAAGCGGCTTAGTCATGCTGGCCACATGACCCGGAAGCTGTACGCCGGCTCCCTCTGCCAGTAAAGTGCTGCAGTCCCAGAGTCGTCCGTGGCTGGACCTAATGGTCAGGGGTCCCTTTACCTTTAACACTCTCCTACTGAATGCTCAAAACATGGAATTGCTAGGCTTTACTTTCTGAATCAGGGACGTGGGTGGTGCTGTGGGTTAAACCACAGCGCTTAGGACTTGCCGATCAGAAGGTCGGCGGTTCAAATCCCAGTGATGGGGTGAGCTCCCGTTGCTCAGTCCCAGCTCCTGCCAACCTAGCAGTTCGAAAGCACATCAAAGTGCAAGTATATAAATAGGTACCACTCCGATGGGAAGGTAAACGGCGTTTCCGTGCGCTGCTCTGGTTCGCCAGAAGTGGCTTAGCCATGCTGGTCACATGACCCGGAAGCTGTACGCTGGCTCCCTCGACCAATAAAGCGAGATGAGCATCGCAAGCCCAGAGTCGGCCACGACTGGACCTAATGGTCAGGGGTCCCTTTACCTTTACCTTTACTTTCTGAGTCACTATTTGATGAAAACATACCTAGGAGGGGAAGCATAGGGCTACCCAAGTACCTTGGACCTGGCTTAGTGCTTCCTATTGGCTTGGAGCTAGAGGAGCTTCACTGCTGTTTTCTGCTGGTTGGAATTCCTTATTGCAATGCACCCCAGTTGTTGTTGCAGCCTTTTTGCTGGAACATACATCCTAGGAGTGTGTGTTGTTGAATGACTGCTGTTTAGACATCCAAACTGGAGTCCCAGGTTTCCTGGGTGGAGGCAGGAGCCAGAACTCAATAAAAGAAGAATATCCCCTAGACACTGAACCTAGCCCCGGACATCGACCCAAGTGTTACAACTTTCTAACCATATGAGGCTGCTGTATTGCTGGTGTGTTAATACTGCTTTTATAGTAACTGCTGGCAGCTAAATCTGTGAGCTCTTTCCTGCATAGATTCAAAAGCTGATTCAACAGCACCATTTCTTCAGAAGTACACTTTGGGTAGCACAGATTTGTTCTCAAAGAACGCTGGGGACAACAAAACGTTTTTGATCGGCTCGAGATGTTTCATCAGCAAAATGAAGGCCAAAAATAGTTCTTGCTTAATACTGCAAAACTCGTTCCAATTCATGTAAATTTATACTCTCGTGGAGACATTATGTGACTATAAAATGGATCACCTTCATTGTGCATTGCCTCTGCGCTCTGCTCGCAAGATCACTTTTGAAAACGTTTGTATAGTAAAATTAGTGGGGACAAGATAAGCTTCTACACAAAGCATTACATCCCATTGTTACATAACTTGAGCACTGTAGAAGATACAAAAACAGTCACATTGGGCCATTCATTATAGCTACATTGCATCGTTTTGCAACTTGCAATCCATAAATGTTTAATGAACATTAGCATTCATTAATGTTAATGAACTGAACATTGATCTTTTTAAATTCCACCAACTGCTTTACGCACATGACACAAAACAGCACAAGCACACCATTTAAGCCTCCCACACACCAAATGCAATGTTCCTTTTGTTTGAAGGCTGTTCTTATCAGCTAATACACGGATAAATCATAAATGAAGTGCGGGAGGGCGAGGATGGGGATTTAACACTAGAAAATCACTAGAAAATGCTAAACTTAAGCACCAGTCCAATGTCACAAACTGTCGTGTCAGAAAATAACTACATATTTAATATGTGTGATGGCTCACCATGTGTACAGGTTGCTGGCATATCAAAAATTTGTAGCCCAAAAAGGACTATGTTTGCGCTTTAATTGGAGGCTGTGATTCTCACTGGCAAGTAGAATGCTTTAACTTTTACGTACAAAAGTCCAGAAGTTCTCGAAATGGTATTTTGAGAGAGAGATGCTGTCTGACCAATAATATGACATCTAAAGCAAGATAGGCTTTTTAACTATGTAGAAAGATCGTAATGTAAAAGCTTTAAAGTATTTTAGAGAAAGGATACAGCTCTCCAGGAAGGGGCATTGATTGGTATTGGCAATCCCCACTATGTCACAAACACATTGTTCAGTTAACAGAAAACAAGATATCCCCGGATGTTACATAGGTATTGTTTATTTATATCCTGCCTATTCTCCAATGAGCTCTTCCCTCCCCTCCATTTTTTCCTCCTAACAACCCTGTGTGGTAGATCAGGCTGTGAGGGAGTGACTGGCCCAGTCACCCGGAGAGCTTCATAGCTAACCAAGAATTTGAACCTGGCTCGCTTTTGTCCTAGTCTGACACTCCAACCCACGGTTAAATAATGTGATGCGCTCCAGGTGTTGAGTATACTCCAATAATCCCAGACTGTTGGCCAACAACATCTGGATCACACCACCAGGGCCGGTCCACCCATAGGGCAAGGTGAAGGAACTGCCTCAGGCAGCAGGATCTACAGGGGCAGCAGTGCCTGATGTAGATCTTTCTTCCCTCCCTGCTTTGTTCCTGATTTAGATATTCACCCAGCCCTTCTTCCCTGGCAGGGAGAGGGATGCCATTTTGTGGTTTGCTTTAGGTGCCAAAATGTCTTGGGTCACTCCTGGACATGACAATAGCTACCCCTGTTCTAACTAGACTATGATCCAGTGTTCAGGGAGATACACTGGCACAAATATTTAACACATGGCTACCAAAAAACCACTCCAGTTTCTTCTGTTGGTATCACATCTTTTCTTGGCTCCTGATGATGCATTGTCTACATTGCAGGCCTAAAGCTGTAATCTCTTATTTAATTAAGTTATATAATGAAGTGGACAATATACTCAGTTGGTGTTAAATGGCTACAAGCACCTTTTGCAGCTTTTTCATTTTGTATCTGAATGATTTAATTCCCATGGGACTGTATGCAAATTAGTGGCAAATTGGAAATGGACACATTTCTTTTTCATTATCCAAACCCCCCCCCCCCAAAACCAAATGAAAATAAAAGAAATTGGGATTTCCATAAAAATAAAAAGCAAATTAAACCAGCATACTTAATTATTAAAGTATTGATTTATATACCCCTTAATTTCCAAGGTGGCTTCTCACTCAATTTACTTAGTTTGTTTATCTACTTGTTTAATATCTCCCTCTTGCCTACTTCCTATTCCTGATAGCTCTGGAGCCTTTGCATTTACAAAACTCCCAATTGCACACACAAAATTCCACCCTCCAAATGTGCAATGCAAATGTGTACACATCAGCTGGATCAGAAAAGAACATGCTCGGTTTAACTCCTAAACCTGGGCAGATGTGGATTTGAGTTCGCTTAGAAACTTAAGTAAGATCATGGCCTCCTGGCAAATAGAAGGGGAAGAAATGGAGGTAGTGAGAGATTTTACTTTCTTGGGCTCCATGATCACTGCAGATGGTGACAGCAGTCACGAAATTAAAAGACACCTGCTTCTTGGGAGAAAAGCAATGACAAATCTAGACAGCATCTTAAAAAGCAGAGACATCACCTTGCCGACAAAGGTCCGTATAGTTAAAGGTTTTCCCAGTAGTGATGTATGAGAGCTAGACCCTAAAGAAGGCTGATCACCGAAGAATTGATGCTTTTGAATTATGGTGCTGGAGGAGACTCTTGAGAGTCCCATGGACTGTAAGAAGATCCAACCTATCCATCCTTAAGGAAATCAGCCCTGAGTGCTCACTGGAAGGACAGATCGTGAAGCTGAGGCTCCAATACTTTGGCCACCTCATGAGAAGAGAAGACTCCCTGGAAAAGACCCTGATGTTGGGAAAGATGGAGGGCACAAGGAGAAGGGGGTGACAGAGGACGAGGTGGTTGGACAGTGTTCTCAAAGCTACCAGCATGAGTTGACCCAACTGCAGGAGGCAGTGGAAGACAGGAGTGCCTGGCGTGCTCTGGTTCATGGGGTCACGAAGAGTCGGACACGACTAAATGACTAAACAACAACAAGACAATCAAATGTGGTTTTGACCCTCCACCGATGCATGGAACCTTATGGAGAGAAACATTCATTTCTGGAGCTCTATTAACCTGTGACCCTGAAATTTCAGGTGCCCCCCCCCCCAAAAAAAAACCTGGTGCCAAAGTTTTGTGCAAGTTTTGAGCCATTTTGTGCCGCAAACCCCGCGTTTCGTGCTGCCTCCCAAACTGAGTAATTGGCAAATCAAATTGGGGTCACGACTTAATGCCCCCCAAACCTAACTTTGCCTGATTGATTCCAAACCAGTGCCAAAGTTGTGTGCCGATTTGTGCGGCGGGGTGGGGGAAGAAATGGATAATTGCCGTGTTTCAGTTCTGCCTAATGGTTCCCCATCTTGTTTTTGATTCAGCTTGCCCTCCAATGAATGGTATCCTTAAATGCCATTAGTGGGCAACTTCTAATTTGATTTACCTGTCCGCAGATAGCTATGCCAGTTTCTTGCAGCAAAAGCAACAACGAGTTTTGCTAATCTTGAGTTAAAAAATTAACACAATTCTTATGGCATAAGTTTTCATGGACTGCAGTCAATTTATTAAGTAAATACATTAAGTAATATGTATACAGTAAAATAATATATATATATATTAAGTAAAAATATACAGTGACTAAACACACAGCTAAACAACATAGGCAGGAATTTAGGAGTTAAGTCCTGCACATTTAAATCTACACTTGTTACAAACTTGTCTATGGGGAAATGTGATATATTAAAAGAGTGTGATGGATCGTATCCAATCCCAAATTAATTCCAAATGAATTGACTTTAATGTTTTTTTCTTTCAAGGCAACATATGCTAATATCCATTGGAATCAATTGAGTATGACCTTAATGTGATGAAAGATAAATGGTAAAATTTTATTTTAATCAAGTTTTTCCTACCCATGAATCCAATTATTCTTTTTTTAATGGTTACTTATGGTTTCTAATGTCACAGTTTTAACTTTGTTGTTGTGCACCACATACTAAATATAGAAAAGCAAAAATAATAATGAAATAAATAAAAGAAATTCATAATAATACTAGTCTGAAATCAAATATTCCTTATGATCAGTATTCTTTCTGTTAAGCTTGCAGACTTAAAAAGATTCCAATGCTAGTTTTGGAGCTGATGTTATTGGAAATGAGCTTTTCTTTCAAACGAAAGACATTTATGTGTGGTCTGTAAAGGTTGACAGAAGAAGCACCATTTGTGTTTATGGGTCTTCTGAGTGTCGTGGAGAGACAGAAAAATCAGTTCAATATTCAGTATTGTTATCAAACTGTTCCTAAATTGAGGGCACATCATCTTACCTAGACAGCTGGTGTTTAGGATGTTCTCCATGTACCTGACCATTGCTTCAACATCACTGTCCTGTAGTCGGAAGGAAAACAAAGAGACCTTGGGCTTGGGAACATCACCAAATGAGCAGTATTTGTTAGAGAGAGAGAGAAATGCTAAGAGGCAAACGTTACAATCATCAGAAATCACTGTACACCACTGTTTTAAGTCTTTTGCCAGTCCTGTGAGAGAGAAGGAGAATATGGTTTATGCCAACAAATTTGTTTTGAGTCCCAGTCCATTGGTACAGGGAACACGGGTGGCGCTGTGGTTAAACCACAGAGCCTAGAACTTGCCGATCAGAAGGTTGGCGGTTCGAATCCCTGTGATGGGGTGAGCACCCGTTGCTTGGTTCCTGCTCCTGCCAACCTAGCAGTTCGAAAGCACGTCAAAGTGCAAGTAGATAAATAGGTACCACCCCGGCAGGAAGGTAAACGGCGTTTCTGTGCTCTGCTCTGGTTCACCAGAAGCGGCTTAGTCATCCTGGCCACATGACCCGGAAGCTGTACGCCGGCTCCCTCGGCCAATAAAGCAAGATGAGCGCTGCAACCCCAGAGTCAGCCACGACTGGACCTAATGTTCAGGAGTCCCTTTAACTTTTTACCATTGGTACAGAATAACTATGCCTCCTAGATATGCACAGCGGATATTCATTCTGCTCAGGGGTTAGATAAGCATTGTTTGGCTGCTCTAGGTAGTTAATATGGTCTTTCTGCACCAATATTATTTCTATGTTCACCCATAAACCTTGCTCTGCCCTGCTGCTATTAACATTGTCTATTCAGTTCAAGGAGAAACCAGTGCTTAACATACTGTGAGGGCCAGGGGCCACCATTACAGAGACAGATTTGAACAGATTCAGCCTCCAAAGGATGAACCAGAAGCTGAACGGGGAATAAAAGAAAGGTAAGCAATCTCAAGGAAGACCAGAGACTTTTGTTTCACACCCTTTCACCCAATTCTGGGTAAGCAGCCACTTCTAAATTGTGATTGTGTGGAGAGAAAACTTTAACCCCCCCCCCCCCATAGTAGCATCTAGCCTGTCTCATCACCGGTGATCATTTTTGGCCCAGGCTGCAACGTTTTCAGTTTACAAAGCTGAAAACAAGGGTTTGTTTGATGCTGAAGAATGGAGATTTAGAAGAAGGAAAAGATCAAATACGCTGACATAAGGGAAAGGTGATGAGACTGTCTTGTTTTATTGATAAGGTGCTAGATGCAAATGTGCCAGGGTTGTATAGCTCTCGCCTGATTGTAGAGTTGCTTCATCCATTAATGACAGAGAAATTTATGTGTGTGCACTGGGTGGAAAACTAACAGGCACAAACAGTAGAATCAAATTCTGGCAGAGGTGTCAATAAAATCACATCCATTTCTCCCCTAATTTTTCTTGTCACAGAAATGTGAACCACAAAGACATGACAAAATGTGAACCGTGAAGGCTTGACAAAATGTCACTCTGTCCCAGTCTGACTGCCAGTCCCGAATTTAACTCGGTATTGTTCAAAATACTATTTTATATTGGATGCCTTTGGAAATACTGAATCGCAGCCAATCCTGTTCAAAACACAATTAACTGCCACTCGTGATTATATAATTCCTTTACATTCTACATGGAAATCAAAGGAAAAGTTTGGATTAGGAAGGGGGAGGGAATACAAGTTGCAGTAATAAAAGTGAGGAACCATATGTATGTTGCAGCCTACAATGAGGAGTTTTCAAAACAGTGGTATCTTGGTTTACAAACTTAATCCGTTCCGGAAGTCCATTCTTAAACCAAAGCGTTCTTAAACCAAGGCGTGCTTTCCCATAGCAGCAAGGGACTCAATTTACAAATGGAACACACTCAACAGGAAGCGGAACATGTTCTGCTTCCAAGGCAAAGTTCACAAACCAAAACACCTACTTCCGGGTTTGCAGTGTTCTTGAATCCAAGTTGTTCATGAAATATGCTGTTCTTAAACCAAGGTACCACTGCAAGTTTACTTAGTGCCGTCTTAACAGTCTATGTTCAATGGGCAACTGCAAAGCAAGTGTATACCTGCCGGTTTGTTTGACACACAGTGTGTGATGTGACCATCTCTTCGACTTCTATCTCTTCCTCCTCCTCCTCCTCCTCCTCCTCCTCCTCCTCACTTGTTTCTGAGCATGAATCGAATGCATCATTATAATACTCTTCTGCAATGACTGGATCTTCTGGGATCTCTGTAACAAAATAGAAACAATAAATGAACTTAAAAATCATTATCAAAAATTATTTAAAATATCACTTTAAAAAACCCATACAGATGTGTCAAACTCTCTAGTGAGAAATTTATAAAGTAGAAGGAGGAATAAAATTTATAAAGTAGAAGGAGGAATATATGAGCTTGCATGGAGGTTCTAGCACAGGGGTCTGCAACCTAAGGCTCATGGGCCACAAGCGGCCCACAGCCGTCATTTAACAGGCCCACAAGCTGCCCCTGAACTGTGCCACCCGCTAGGCAAGTCCCTGCGCATTGCGCTAAACTGGCACGGCGACTTGCTTCTGCGGCGCCGGAATTCATGTCTGCACAGATGCCGGAAATCGCTCGCACGCTCGCTTGCAATCCGGTCCACAGAGGGAACTCTGCTGGAGTGAACCGGCCCAGGCGAGGTAAACCTTGCCAACCCCTGTTCTAGCAGCTGTCAAAAACCCTGGAACTCTATATGAGATGGCCATCCTCTTCCACAAAGCATGCAACTTCGAGATGGATGTACATGGACATATGCCTAGCCAGCCCTATCAGCCAAATGAAGCCTGGTGATCAGCGTGGTGAGATATGTTACAGTCAGCTCACCCTCCTGTTGAGGAGGAATATGAGTTTTTACATCGCACGTGTCCAGTGACATAAATAAAACCCCATGTGGTTGCCATGCAATCATCCTGAAATTATTTCCTTGCAGCAAGACTTTACACAGCAAAGTGTGTTCTGTGCCCTGTGGTGCCTGAAGATCTGTCTTTTCTTTTAGGTATGTTTCTGACCTCTGCCTGCAATCAGACGTGGCATACCCAGCGGAGTGTTGCATTGCAGCTGCTCAGCTTAGCTGGGTGATCCACCTGCACATAGCAAGATCACAGCAAGGATCCCTTATTCAGGGAAAATGAGCGGTAAGAGAAAGTTGCATTATTTTATTACAGCAAACAATGCGTTTTTGGGGAATCATGCACTCAGCATACTCAGGCAACTGCTAAGGGTCCATGAGTGCTCTTGCCTTCACTTGATTGGGTCCATCTTCTCTCTCTCCCCCTGCATTTCCTATCTTAGTTTTGATTTAGCAGCAGGTGGCTACTAGGCAGTGGCAGAGCTTCAAGCTCCGGCGGGGGTGGAAAGCAGGTGGGGGCGTGGCTGGCACACATCCCGGGGGCATGGCACGCTGCCTGCAGGGGCGTGGTGCCCAGCACAGGGGGAGCAGCCACGCTGGCACCCCACCGGGATCGTGCCGCCAGGGGCGGTGCGCTCCCCCTGCACACCTGTTCCTCCAGTGCTAGGTAAAGGTAAAGGGACCTCTGACCATTAGGTCCAGTCGTGGCTGACTCTGGGGTTGTGGCGCTCATCTTGCTTTATTGGCCGAGGGAGCCGGTGTACAGCTTCCAGGTCATGTGGCTGGCATGACTAAGCTGCTTCTGGAGAACCAGAGCAGCGCACGGAAACGCCGTTTACCTTCCCGCCAGAGTGGTACCTATTTATCTACTTGCACTTTGATGTGCTTTTGAAGTGTTAGGTTGGCAGGAGCAGGGAACGGGAGCTCACCCCGTCGCGGGGATTCGAACCGCCGACCTTCTGATCGGCAAGTCCTAGGCTCTGTGGTTTAGCCCACAGCGCCACCACTAGGTGGTTAAATGACACCCACCCTTTAAATTCCCCACGTTGTCCTAGAACAACACCATGTTTCCATATTGTGGGAGGTTGTAAATGGGGGGGGGAGCTCACAGTGGTAAATCTGCAGAAGAATTCTGAAGTTACTGGCCCTTTGCTTGGAAAGCCCATTCAAGTCTAGAAGCACTCCTGATTGGAACTGCAATGGGGGAAACTAAAAGAGTCCTCCTTAACATTAACTTAATGATAAAAGTGTTGTTCTCATGAAGAAACAATAGTAAATGTACCTAGCACATAATGAATACTGAGGTTTCTGCCCAACACTTTATAGGCTGATTCATTCTGCAAGAATTGAAACTCTGCAGAAAAAGCAATGAAAAATGAAACCTCTAAACGTGGGCTTGCCAAGTTTCCAGCTGCCTTTCCTAGGTAGCATCATCTTTTATATCTACTGCAGTTTCCCCTTCGTGAGTTAAACAGTCGTTGAAAAATAGTTTTAATTTGCTCCATCCCCGGAGCTCATTAATTAGTGCATTAATGCAGCATTCTAAATTTCGCCTGCATTTATGCGGCACTGAGTGACATTGCAATCGTAAGCATGCTTACTCAGAAGTAAGACCTGCTGGGCCTTACTCCCTAGTCAGTGTGTTCAGGATTGCAGCCTCAGTTCATTTATTTTAAAGAAACAAAGCACAATGGAATAAGGTGACCACATGAGGACAGAGTTTTGCTACAATTTAGCAAGTTAATAATGGACAGAAAAGGGAAGAACAATATTTTTCTTGCAATTTTTTTTTACATTTACAGGTTCTCTGTTTGTATTCTGTTTCCTTGAATAAAGGGTCAACTTTACTGAGTTTCTGTGCGAACTTGCAGCTGAACCAGCCCTGACATGTGCTGATGGTGCCGTAACATACACATAATTGCATTCATCTCTGGGAATTATGGTATGTTTTCACCTGTCTTGCACCTACCAACCGTGGTAGTGCACAACTTGAAATTCAAACCCAAAAGAAACACCCCTTTGGACAAGAAAGGACTTTAGAGCTGGATGATGGGAGCATATAATTTCACAAAACCTAAGAATGAAACAATGAAGATGTTCATCAGACAAAAGGGTGCTTCGTCAAGTAATGCAGTTACACAGTTCACAGTAATTTAAGTTTACTTGCGTTTAAGCATGAATGAGGTTAACATTACATGACAGCTGACTTCATAGTTCGTGTAGTCTCATAGCAATCAATGAGTGGTCTAACAACAGTAAGAGATTGACATGAATAAATCCTGAATATGTGCCCAAACAGCTGTCTTAGGGCACACCGTCTGCTGAATAGTGACAGGGCATATTTCAGATTCCAAGCCAAATAAGAACTTCTGGGAGAAATTACTCTTGATTCAGAATACTGTATAGCTGAGCATTATGACCAGGACAAATATACTAACAAATCAGATAATTACAAACTTCAGCAATTTCAATATTCAAAATGTAATTGTTACCATCTCTGGACATATCTTTAAATCACATAAAAATCAAGGTTTATGAGTTGCTCCAGCTACTAATGAAGTAATGAGGCCATGCCCATGCCATTTATGCAGCAGTCTTCCACTTATTTTGGGGTCAAACATTCAGCTGTGTCTGTGAATTGGCAAAATCAACAAATTATAAGAAAGCTAATTGCCAATAAAGAATAAATTATGCCACAACGTGCACAGTTATCCCTATTGTGTTCATCCCATTATTTGTTTCAGTAACACAAAGATTTATGATTAAAGTCTCTAGGTAAAGCTAAGAAAATGTGATCAAGTAGTGTCACCCTGGGGAAGTATTATTAATTTCCTTATCTACTATAGCTTTCCAAAGCAGAAGTAAACAAGTTATGAGTGCTGCTTTTCCTAAAACAATAAGAGAGGCACATAAGAAATAAAGCAGAAGACTACATATATAAGTTTTTTATCTTCAGAAGTGCTTAAGGGGGAAGGAAAGAGAACATTCTAAAGAGAACGATGATGGCAAAGGGCACTTGGCGATCACCTGTGTAAACGTTCTTTTATGCATGGCACAACAGTTACTTGAAAAGTTGCCCTCTAAGAAGCACAGGATCCAGCAGCTACCTAGCAAAAGCTGTGCATGCATACCCTTAAAAACCAACTTGAACATAAGCGTAAAGGTAAAGGGACCCCTGACCGTTAGGTCCAGTCGCGGATGACTCTGTGGTTGCAGTGCTCATCTTGCTTTACTGGCTGAGGGAGCCGGCGTTTGTCTGCAGACAGCTTTTGGGCATGACAAAGCCGCTTCTGGCGAACCAGAGCAGTAAACGGAAACTCCATTTACCTTCCCGCCAGAGCAGTACCTATTTATCTACTTGCACTTTGATGTGCTTTCGAACTGCTAGGTTGGAGCAGAGACCAAGCAACGGGAGCTCACCCCGTCGTGGGGATTCGAACCGCCGACCTTCTGATCGGCAAGCCCTAGGCTCTGTGGTTTAGACCACAGCACCACCTGTACATAAGCGTAGGCTTTCTAAATCCTATGCTTACTTTGGGGATCTGCTCAGTTCTTCAAACAGACAAAGGAAATGGCAGGATTCTGACTGCTAATTGTTGTAATGAGAATGATTTTGAAGAAGTTGCTTGCCCACCCATAACTCGCCGCACAGTTCTTTTGGATTGGGTTGAAATGGGAAGACTATTTGAATAACAGACTTCTGGAAGGGTAGCAATGTTGGTCTGATGCAGCAAAATACGAGTGTCTTATGACATTTAAGTTTAGCTTACCATAACATGCAAATCAGGCCTATTTGTTTTGTTCAATACCTACTATTCTAGTTACTGGTGAAGGCTACTACTCCTAATTTTCAGACATAAAATGATTTCAGATGTCTTAAGACCATTTCCCAGAAATCAAATAAATTGATAAATAATGAAATTGTGGCTAGGAATGCACCATTAGTATATTTATAATAACATATGATAATACAGTTAACAGAGTCTCGATTGTTTCCTTATGTCTGCCTCCAAATGCATTTATTCAGAAGGGAATCCATATAAATGAGCAACAATCCTTCCTTTCAAATTGAATATACTGAGTTTCTAGTCTTAAAAATGATGCTACTCTGCAATGTTACCAAGGAAATGTTACATGAGATGCTTTGAATGGACTGTGCAAAGGCTAACCGCTAATAATTACACTAATGAGAAGTCATTTGTCTTCTTACAGTTAAGAGTTCCTGGAAGAGTCGCCATGAATAGGAGTGTTGTACCTGGATAAACAGAATCTAGACAGCATTTGCTGAATTGTACAGTGAATGAGTTCAAATTAGAGAATGGAATTCATTCAATGCACGTCATGTTCATTATGAGTTTTGCAACCCCTCCGACTGAAGCAGTGGGACAGTTTTCAAAATCTGGCACCAAGTATATGAAATACTGTCTGTGTCTGCATGTTGACTTTTAACTGAATGATGTCTTTCTGAATTGTTTACAGATGGCATACGTTAGGCATCACTAACGAATGTGATGTTCTTTTAAATATTGATCTAACCAAACCTGGTGACCTTCAATACCAATGGGAGGAAAGCTCAGCAATTACCAATGATGGCACCATCATGGCAGCTGGAGGCATAATCCAAACTTCAGAACGCAGCACACCAAAAGGAGAGGTAATTAGAGGAAAGGCGAGTCAGGGACAGGACCATGGACACTAATACTATGCGGTTGAGGACACCTCGGACTCCCCCACCCCGAAGTATGTGAGGACAGGGCTGAGCCCCCCCCCCCAATCTTGGGGAGCCTCACAGCCTCCTCTCAACATGTGTGACATCACATGTGTGACACACATGTGACCCCCCACACACATGATGAGCCCTCCCAGTGTCGGGCAAAACTCAGTGCCCCTGGACAGGAGCAAGAAAATGAGACAGGCAGATTAGATGACAAATAGCTGAGCAGCTTCTTGATCTTCACTTGGAACAGCAAAAGGAGACTCTGGGAATTTAGAAGACAAGGTGAAGTATTATTACTATGGGGGGGGGGGGAGATTCAATCAGTTCATATTTAAAGGCAAACCCTACCTCAGAGCTTTTCAAACTTTTCATGTTGGTGACACACTTTTTAGACATGCCTCATTTCGTGACACAGTAACTCAGTTTTACTAGCAAACCAGAAGTTAAATTAGCGTCTTTCCTGCCCTGGGAGGAGCATTCACACAACATACCTACAAACTGCAGTCGACACACTAATGTGTCGCAACACAGAGTTTGGAAAACTCTGCCCTACCTAATTAACACTTCCTGAAACAATGCATGAACTGAAACACATTCATCCTTTGAAATTCCCACTGCTCCAAATCTTGCATAGTCCTCCAAACAAATAATGTGTATGAAACTGCATTTATTAGGAGAGATTATGCATAAAAATGTGTACATTGGTGAAAACAGCAATATACCAAATGCATTATACTGGGGAAAACTAGAGAGATGATAGCTTTTTCAGACAGTTTAAGGTAGTAGCTCATGATGTGTTCCCTCATTCCGCTGTTGCTTCTAGCAAACTGGTTTTACAAGCAGTTTAGAAATGGGCAACCCTTGTCTCCAGTGGCAAGAGGGGAGGCAAGGAACCAGGTGTGTATATCATGGGAAACAGCACCTCTTTCAGACTTCCAACTATCTTCAAAACCTTTGTCTGTCTTCTGTCCTATGTTTGCAACTTCTCCCAAGAATGGTAGACAGAGCTGGTCTTGGAATGCCAGTAGTGCCATTTTAGAGGGCCATGGGGCTTGACTGCTCTAGTTTAAATAAATATGAATATTGGTTTCACCAATCAACAGTGTCAGAAGTTAAGCACAGTCAATCAGCAAATGTTTTAGAAAAAATTACAATAAGAGCTTCTGAAAACAATGTTTTTGTTATACCCAAGCTTTTGCATTCCATTCTTCACAGACTGACCGTATTAGTCGAACAAGCATCTCTCAATAGAGTATTGCAGGTCAAAAGGAGAAGCAGCAGTAAAGTGTATATTAAACAATTTCATTTCATAGTTTCTCATCCTTGGAATTATGAGAAACTGCCTTTCCCCCTATTTCAGCAACACTGGAGCTTCACCTGAATTACTGGCTGATCTACAGGAATAAAAGTTGATAACAGCACAATCCCATGCTTGCCCTACACAGACCTACTGTGTTCCTGCTGCGGCTTCCTTCCAGGAGATTGTGTAACTGTTTATATTTCTATAAACTCACTTCTGACCTCTGTGCGACATTTATAGTAAACCTGGACTTTCAAACAGCAGGGTTCAGGTTATATAATTTTGACTGGATAGATAATTCGAAGTAACCTTATTGAAGGTTGATTTGGGTCCGTGTGGAGGTGAGGTGTGCATTAAGCAAAGAATCTGTTTGGGGACGATTTGGGTGAGAATCAGTTAAAGTGTGATTTATGCTGATTTGAGGTTGCTGGATATCAAGTGTGGACAGTACTATACTGCAATTGACAAGGGATTTGGGTGTATACGACATGAGCTGGATGGGATGGAGAAGGAGAATCTGTGTGTGATGGAGGGGCAGAAGTAATGCTGAATGCTGGAAAACACTTATTTTGGCTTTAACATGTAGATAAGCAAAAGCTTTTAGCAACAAATTGTAGGTAGGGCAGAGAGTCCCATCTACATACAGTGTAGCGATCCCAGGAAATCCCTGACAGTAAGAACCAGGGTTTTCCTCTGCCGGGCAAAATTTGCATATAATTGTCTAATTAACAATATGCAAAATTATTTAAATTAGTTTTCTGTGGGCCTGTACACATAACCTTTTAAATACCTAGCAAAATGCCCCAGCTGAGCTGAAACTTTTTTGACTGAAATCCACAGTGAAACACTCATACAAAATTAGCATTGGAAATATGGAAATGATATATGCAATTATCGTAATGTGCTTGGCTATTTTGGTCTTATAATAAACTCAGAGGCTTGTCAGATGCAACATATTGCAATGTATTTATTAAGGAAATGAATTTTGACTGTGGTAACCGGTAGAGTATAAAGCAGTAACAGAAAAGAAAAGTAGGCTGAGAGTTTAAGGTACTAAAGCTCAGTGACTGACAAAGGGGAGAGATGAAACTTCTTTAAAAGTTGAAAAGAAATGAGATGAAATGAAAAAACAATGATCTGGCAAAGAACCTGGCAGAATTCCTAAAAGCTTGTGAAAGGAAGCAAATATATTTATGCAGTGCTAAAATGGTGAGGGGGAAGGTGGGCCTTAATGAAATCCACAAGGTGAATCCCCAACTCACCTCAATTTTAGAATCATGGGTGCCTTACAGCTTTCTAATAATTGCAGGTAATGTGACTGATATATGATATATGAGTCGTGCCCCCTCTGTTCCCACTATAGTTTGAACATTGCATTTATGTAAATATCTGCAAGCATGGTTAAATCCTGATTCTGGTCCGCCACAGACTTGCCCCCATGGGGATTTCTGGCACCCAGTCTGCCCCTGCTGACTTTGTACTTTCCTGTGTGTGATCTTTTGGCAGAAGACCGTTGGGAATAAACACCTTAGTCCAGCACATGAACTTGTGCGATTTCCTCTAGAGAGAAACCACCCCAGTATCAACCACAGAAAACAGGGGACTCATCCCTTCACAGACCACATGAGAGATGGGCGAGACAGCAGGATTAGGTTATCTGGGCCCGTCAGACCATGGATACAGTACATGGCTCCGCCCTAGGGCAAGTCATTGTGGGGTCTCAAATTTCATTGGCACTTGCCTTCCATTCTACATTTTAGTTGTGGCGCCCCTGAGGCCCAGTGTGACCAAACTGGAAAGGATAAAGGTCACCAATCTCACAAAGTGACACAGAACGAACACTCAAAACGCTACAGATGAGTTTTGTTGTTGTTTTTTCCAGAGTAGAAAGACCCAACTGTCACCAACAGCAGGCAGGGTTGGTCTGGAAAGAGGGAGGACTTCTCCCCCTGAAAAGAAGGCCGAAGACTTCAGAGGACATGGCCTGATCCTTGCAGAAAGAGGCACCATCCCTATCAGGAATGCCCTCCAGCAGAATCTGGTAAATAAAGATTATACAATGATCTATCTGTATTTGCACGCACAGCTCATAAATATATTTTTAATTGCCCCTCTCGTTTACAATGTCTTTTCAGCTGTGAAATTGATATGAATATAAACCAGCCCATTGCGCAAAACGTAAGAGTACATAGTTTTATATTTTCATTGCAAAATCCATTTCCCCCACTGAGTCATTGTGTTGAAAAACTGAAGTGATTAGATACTGTCTGATTAGTCCAGAACGTCAACCTAGCAGATTATTTCATTTTAAGTTATTACTACCAGCAGAGCAGCACATAATCAAGTGTAATGCTAATATAGTCCCCTCCATATCTACTAACCCCCCTCCCCAATTATTTCAGTTTCATCCTCCTAAAGATACAGATTCAATGTCAAAAGAAATATAGCCTCCAGTACGTTACTTTTACTGGTCCTGAATGGGGTAACTGTGCCGCTGAAGGACCAGGTGTGCAGCCTGGGAGTCATTTTGGACTCACAGCTGTCCATGGAGGTGCAGGTTAATTCTGTGTCTAGGGTGGCTGTCTACCAGCTCCACCTGGTACGCAGGCTGAGACCCTACCTGCCTGCAGACTGTCTTGCCAGAGTGGTGCATGCTCTAGTTATCTCCCGCTTGGACTACTGCAGTGCGCTCTGCGTGGGGCTACCTTTGAAGGTGACCCAGAAACTGCAATTAATCCAGAATGCGGCAGCCAGACTGGTGACTGGCCGCTGGGACCATATAACACCGGTCCTGAGAGATCCGCATTGGCTTCCAGTACGCTTCCGAGCACAATTCAAAGTGTTGGTGCTGACCTTTAAAGCCCTAAACGGCCTCGGCCCAGGATACCTGAAGGAGTGTCTCCACCCCCATCGTTCAGCCCGGACACTAAGGTCCAGCATCGAGGGCCTTCTAGCAGTTCCCTTGCTGCGAGAAGTGAGGTTACAGGGAACCAGGCAGAGGACCTTCTCGGTAGTGGCGCCTGCCCTGTGGAACACCCTCCCTTCAGATGTGAAGGAAATAAGCAGCTATCTTCTCTATAAAAGACATCTGAAGGCAGCCCTGTTTAGGGAAGTTTTTAATATTTAATGCTGTATTGTTTTTAACACTTGATTGGAAGCTGCCCAGAGTGGCTGGGGAAACTCAGCCAGATGGGAGGGGTATAAATAATAAATTATTATTATTATTATTATTATTATTATTATTATTATTATTATTATTATTACTATGTGCTGCCCCACCTCAGGCAGCAAAACGCCTTCAGGCCAGCCAGTTTCAAACAGTTACCTCACAGTGAACAGCTAAGGGCCTTATTTCAGACATTTCTAGACACCTCAAGGTTTTCTTCGCCCCCAAAATGGGTCCTTTCCTGAGCATGGTGACCACTGCTGAAAGAAAACCAGCCATGCTTTGTCATAACTAACTTCCTGCTCTCTCATGCCTGCGAAGGATGCTTCCAGAGAACTAAAAGCTCATTTTGCTTTCTTTTTAAGTGAGTTCCGAACTCTTTGCTGAGCCAGGATGCTGCCTTTCTGCACAAAGCTACCGGAGAAAAACGGAAAGAAATGACAGCATGTCAAGGTGAGCTGGCAGTCGCAAAGCAGTCTTGCTTAGCAATAGATAGCTGAGCAGCTGGATTCTGCAGTCATGCTTTGCCTCAGTTTCAGTCTCAGGAGCCTCAGATTGTTCAGCAGTTCTCTCCGTTCTTATGTGAAAAGAATAAATCTCCATAATTATTCTGGGTGGTGCAGTAAGGAATGAAACCATCCACAGCTAATATAAACCTGCTTCTTCATTTTTTAAACACTCAGATTTTCCATGAGCATATATTAATCTTGTGAATGAACTTTATTGCACATAACCAAAGGCCTTTGCAAAAAAAATAAAATCTCTCATCTTCTCCGTATAGACAGCCTTATCTCTTTAATAGAATATAATGTGAATTTACGGTATCCATAAAATCCATCATAATTAAAATTCATATCTTCAGTATAATACACCAATACATTAAAAATTAGCACCATCCGTTCAGTTTATTCTACACCAGTATTTCAGATAAAGCAAATCTTCCCTTGAATTAATTAACATTTAATTTTCCTCCCATTCAGCCCTGTCCTTAACAATATCACCCTTTATGTTAGGGCTAACACTTGCCAGAAAGTCTCTTTCTTGTAACTGGGCCCTCTCAGTCTCTACTTTGTTCGGTCCTCTGCCTAGGAGACTGCTCCACCACTGCAGTCTTTTTGCTGGGAAGATGGTTTCACAGTCAAGTATTTTGTTCCATGCCTCTCTTTTCAAGGCTGCTGCTACGCAACTGGTGCCTGGAGGAGCAAGACCTCTCTTTCAGCTTAGCTGGATCTCCTTGCTTCTCAGCCATGCTTGTTGTTTTTCTCTAGGATTAGTCAGGACACTTTATGAGAAGCAGAAGCCAGTGGCATTCCATTATAAAATCTTTTTTTCCCTTCTAATTTTGAACCATACTAGAAGGGTTCTATGAAACCCAGGGTGATGAGTGGACTTCACTCAAGGACAATTTATGGATAACCTGAAGAGATCTGTATTTTACACATGTGTTCATGGAAGTATCATTCTGGGGATTTACTGGAGATGATTGTGCAGCTCTTGCAATGGACATAATTAGTAACAGTATTGCTGTGCCTATTTGGGAGAAATTAGTAAGACCCAACAAATGCCGATCTGAATGAATAAAAAGTGTTTATTCACAAAAAATTGTGGCTATGATATGCAGATAGGTGTAGATATGCCTTGTGTAGGAGAGTGCTTGGGAACAAGACAGAATGCTATGGAGGGCGAAATGCAAATGACAGGGGTGTGGATTAATGTAAGGGTTAGGCAGTGAGATTAGAGAGCCATCAATAAACACCCAGGAAACTGGTTTTTAGGCCCAAGTGATAACAATGTGCATGAAGGGAGATTAGTTCAGTTCAAATATACATTTTATTCCTTTAGCAAAACTCACAAATTGGTCATACAGCTTTGTTTTAAATCTCCTTTTATTTAAATCTACTTGTTTGACAGATGCACATTTTCAAGGGAAAAATTAAAGATCAGCATTATAATTTTAAACTTAAGAACAAGCACTTAGAAGTCATGTATTTGTTGATTAACTACCCAGCTCAGCTTGGGGTGATGGACCTGGGGAGGAACAAGGATACCGGATACTGGGTTGAAGCCTGAACGCAATGTGACAAATGTGAGTAACACACCACTCTGAACTGCCCATTAATTCTGTATCTTTCAAGCACTGATCACAATGATAAATGAAAACCCTCGCAGGGAGTTTTAAGACCTCTGTGTTGATGTCTCTAGACCATGCAGCTAAACTTTCAAATACACCGGGAGATGAGTGGAAAAACAAGAAGCCTATTAGTCCTATATAGTATAACTTGATAAAACAGATACAGGTGGTGAACATTTTAGGCTTGTCCAATTGATGCACGATAGTTGACGTGCAGGTCCTTTTGGACCTGGATGATGGCAGAACGGGGGCGGAGCAGAGCAAGACGGGGTATAACTGGGCAGGGCACACTTTGCATGCCCCACCAACGCACACAGGAGGCCAAGAAGGGAACCCTGCGTGAAATGGTCACCACCTTATGTAAGAGCGACCAATTTGCCCTGCTGTTCTGATTCCACTCTTATATACTCCTTCTCTTATGTTGTAAACAGTCACAGTTTCCATTCCATATCCATCTCTTTTGTTTCCTGATTTTCATTTTTCTCTCTCTCCTGCCTGGACATAGTATCTAGAATGCAACTTCCTCCCACACAGATTTTCTCTCTTGATACTGTAAAAGAACAAGCTGGCTGGCGATGCTTGGCTTAAAGTGTCACACGTATTTGCCTTCTCTTTAAAGATAGTGAGTCCAGCAGCTTTTAAAGTCCTACTAGTCAATATTAAGCTTTACGTGTATGCATTAAAGAGTCTGTGTGTGTGTGTGTGTGTAGGGTAGAGAGGTGCCCACAGATAGAGAATACACTATGTATTCCTGATGCATTGCTTTTCCTAGGCAGGTACAGCCCAATGAATATATTATATTCCACGCAAATGAGCAATGGAAGTTTCTATCTGCTCTAGAAAAAAGCTACCTGATTAACATTTTAAGCCATGCTTGTTTTTAATATGCTGTAATGGGGGTCACCAACCCAGCACCCACAAAAGGCTTTCATGGAGCTTTTATTTCAAAAAAACAACAACAGTAAGTCTCTAGTCCTCCTACAAAAAAAGTTTGAAGCAAAATGTGCAAGTACCCTTTAAGTTTCATACTGATCTGCACGGCCCACAATCAGCACTACTGAGATCAAGTATCATGTACCTCTTGCCATCCCAGAACTATTTACATTATCTTATTAATTGTGTGCGCATTTATGTGAGATTTATATCTTACATTTTGATTAAATGAGGTCCATGATGATTTACAACAAATTAAAATCCAAAATTAAAGCAGCCTCTGTTCCTCTGGCTGGTGGCAGAAACCAATATCCTTCCTAGGGATGCTCCAGAATTTGGTATGGCTCACATGTACAAGTGATCCAACCTGATTCACACTTCCCAGACTCATACTCAGATCAGAACACACCTTTCCCAATTTTGTGACACAGTTCAAAAAATGTATAAAAATGCACATAAAAATGTATCTTGGAACAAAAGCAAAAAACAATGAGGCGGAGAAGAAAAATTCAGAGATCAAATTAAGAAACGGAAGAGGTAGCACATCTGAATTTTGAGTTAGTGGTCTCTGCTGCTGTTAATGGCAGACTTCTTATCCATTTCTTCAGTTAAGAAACTGTCATTTAATGAAGCATTTTCTTTTGACTTAATCTAAGTAGTACCAACCATGTTAACATCCTGGGTGTTACACCACGCAGTTATTTACTGAATCAACAGCTCATGGAAATTTAATTAAAATATCAGATCTTTTGAGAAAATACCCATCGTGGCTGCAGAGTACATTGCTGCGCATTGTGCCAACAGTAAAAATAAAAATATAGAGCATGGTTATAAAAGCACAGCCCTGAATCCAACAGCTTCTCAGCCTTGACAGGTAGGTATTTTAGCTATTCATTTTCTCTTACTGGGAAACAGCTGCTTTTGGAACACAGATGCCCAGCTTCTGCAGGAGCTGAAGGCTAATACCTGTCACATGGATCAAGAAATGCAGCTTCAAAATAAAGGGATTTATTCTGTTTGTTGTTCAGTTATATCTTGCAGATTTTAGGTGGCTTAAACTAAAAATATCAATAGCATTATAAAGCTATTAGATGAACCCAATATTAAAATCACAGTTAATCATCTCTACACAGACTAAAATAAACAATGAAATCCTCAGTACAAAGAGCATGTAATCAAGAGAAATGAATAAAACTATATGAATTTAAACCAGCCAACCTAATCCTTACAATTCTGCTGTAATAATACAAAAATGTGTTACATTTTATTCAGAAACCCCACGGGCTGATACTGAAGCTTACTTCAAATCTTAAAATTTACCTGCATGGAAAACTTTTCCAGGTAAGAGAACTACAGTCTGAAGTGACCCTGTCACACACATAAGTAGACTTTTATAAAGAGAGAGGATGCTCAAGCATGCAGCTCCTTAACTGATGGAATGTTGTTCAAGTTAAGTGCTTTAATACAGTTAATGTAAATTGTGACTGATTCATAAACATTATCATGCAACTTTCTTCTGGTTTACTTGTATACTGTTTAACTAGGAACATGCCACAACCTTGATGAAGCCATGCAAAACTTCTCCTATGCTTTACAGTTTGGCCCAAACCAAATAAGTTCTGGCAATATAAGCATTAGATACTTAACGCACTGGTAAATTTTCCTAGGCTGTCTCCTCTGAACAGTTGCAATTTCTGTCATATTGATCTCTTATGGACTCTCTTAAATGGAGGATGCAAAGGTAACATATATCATTGTACAGAGAAAATGCATACAGTTTGTGATCACTTTAAAATCAAGTTTTTATTTCCCAACCTTTTAAAAGACTAAACAGACTCCCCGCCCCTGACCGAAACATCTTATGTCTCATCTAGCTTTAACTAGATGAGGAATTAACACAGCATATAATATCAATCTCTTACCGCGCTCCACAGGATCAGACATACAGAGTCTGCCTGTTGTATCACTGTCACTTTGATCCTCACATCCTATGGACAGATAGTTCAACGTAGTGACTGGCTGAGATTTAATCAGATGCTCTGCTGTCTGTTCATCAGGTTCCTTATTTGAAATGAGACAGTAAATCATAAGTGGTCACAATGAAACATATTCTGAATGGAGTAACAGCTGGAATTCTCATAAGAATTTTTTTGGTAATTATTATTATTATATGCATGTGTATGAACAGGGTACTGGCAGCAGGCTGGGGTTAGTGCCAGCTTTCTGTATATATATTTTGCAGCACTATCAATTGAAGTTGCACATTTTCACCAGTTTGGGATAGTTTTAAGCATGGGGGCTACATTAATTGGAATCTTATTTCAATATCCAGCCTCTATTGACTTTTTGTGAGTCAAATACATTGCTATTTTTCTAGAAAAAGAGATGCCAGAACTCGCCATGAACACATCCCTTGTTTTCTTAGAATGGCAATGGCACCTACCTGAGAGCTCCTAGAACTGAATTCTGGTGAGTTCCAGCTGAAAAAAGCCCTAGTCACAGAGAGCTAAGGATAAGTAGAGAAGACAGGGGGAGAAAACACTGTAGAAGCTGATGTCTGGGTTTTAGAAAATCTAAGCAAAGGCTAGAAACTTACATGAAGCACATCTATATTCACATGGTGGAAGTTACGGGATCTAAGCTCCTGCATTCTCTTGAGATTCTCTTGATATTTTTCTTCAGCCAACTGCCTGAAAAGAATGACAATACTGGTAATTCTACATCACAAATGGTAACTGAGCTAATAACTTTCTAGCGACTTCTTTCAGCGTGATTCCTTCAAGCAAAAGGATTACAACTGGTATGAGAAATGAATATTAATGCTTCATACTTGCAGAGGGAAGAAGCTCCTCAAACTGGACAGATATCTTGCAACTTTAAGGGGTGACAAGACAGGAAAGTCACCTTCCACTAACTTCCTTCTGCAAGCAGTTCTTGGGATCAAACCCAAAGTAAATCTAGCTCTAAGGCAGCCTTCCTCCACCTTGATCCTCAGATGCTGCTAGACTGCAACTCCCATCATTCCTCATCACTGGCCATGATGGCTGAGAACAATGGAAATAGTAGTCCAACAGAAACTGAGGACCCCAGGTTGGGGAAGACTGCTCTAAAGGAACACTAATATAAATAAAAGAGAGTAGCAAAGTGAGCAGTAATTCTGTTCATTCTATTTTCATACCATGGCAGACCCAGCACTCTGATATCTTTCGGACCCTCCAAGTGGCAGGGACAGTCCGGGATTTACAGAAGCCGTCCTGGTTTCTGATTTGATCCCGGAATGTCCTGCTTTTCCTTAGGACATCCCTATTTTCATTGGAGAAATGTTGGAGGGTATGATCCTTAGGTATCTGTATCTGTGTCATCAGCACTTCCAAATACATGAGAAACCTTTATACAGACAGGCACAGAGAATGAAGTCACAACAAAGCAACAACTGTCAAAAAACAGTGAGGACAAAATTGTTCTGGGGGCAAGCAAATGGCCCTCTAGTAACTGTGGGCAGTATGTCGGAGTGATCAGAAGAACCACAGACACCTTAAGAAAGAGATTAAGGGGGGAAATGACAAGGAGTTTGGAGAGTGCTTCACTCTGCATTCTGTTTCTCCTCCACAAATAATTGTTATAGTTTTGGGAGGGGGGAGCAAGGATCCCCTAAATTCCTGGGTGCCAGATCTACCCCATAACTCCTGGATTTAGTAAAAGTTAGAATTAATCAAGGTTTGATTAAACTGTGCCAAACACTGCTGGATTCAGATTATATTAAGAAGCTTGGCCAACCTGGTATAGAGCTGAGTGCAGGGACATTGGAGGAGCATGAAAATAGATCATGGAATTCAATGCCACACAGCAAGGGGAGTGGAGCCCCCTCCTCCAGGGGTGTGTTAGTGGGCAGAGACAAAAGGGTTTGAAAAAGGTTTAGGATTTCAGTTTGGCATGATGTATGAGAGCAGGAAGGTACGTTTGTAGTTCGCAAGCTGCACAGAAAGGGGGGTCAGAGCACCATGTGGACTGACAGGCTGTAAAAGGGGCAGAGAGCATGGGATCCTGGACTCCTGCATATACTGTATGGGAGAAACAGGAGGCCCTCTTGCTTTAAACCAGCCGTAGGCAAACTCCGGCCCTCCAGATGTTTGGGACTACAATTCCCATCATCCCTAGCTAGCAGGACCCGTGGTCAGGGATGATGAGAATTGTAGTCCCAAACATCTGGAGGGCCGGAGTTTGCCTATGCCTGCTCTAAACTCCCTCCCCATCTAAACCATATATAATAAAGATACCACAATCTCCACTGTGCCTCATTTCCAAATGACCCACAGACCTTAGGTAAGTGCCTGGACCCCCTGGACTCTCACAACACTCAGAGTTTAGGGTGGTGTGTAACATAGTGTTGGATAAAGCAGTTGCATCTCTTCCTGTACATCAAGGAATGTCCAAATCTCCAATTCGGGGGGGGGGGGCATTTAGGAGAGGCTGACATGAAGACTGTGGATAGCAGACCACAGACCCTTTCTGGAAACAAACTAAATACTTCCCAAACAAATTGAGACACTGAAGGATCTCCTTTTGGAGGCTAAAATAACGCTGTGCTTCTTACTTCAGCTTCTGCGCTGTCTCATCAGCAATGCTCAGCTTTCTCAGTCTCATTCGTTCACGCGGTGTCATTTTCTGCACTTCCGAGAGGGCCCTCAGAGTTTGTAGATGTACTTTTTTCTGCCTGAAGAGAGAAGGGTTAGAACTGAAACAAATGTGTGTGGACATTTGCTTTCAAAAATTCAAATGAATAGTCCTGGGCCCGAAAAGCTGAAAACAGGACCAGCCCCAAGACATTTTGATGCATAATGAAAAAAACAAGATGACAATTCTTTCCCCCATTCCAGGAACAAAAACTGACCAAACTAACACAGGGTCAGGGAGAGGTTGTGGGGTGAAGCTGGGCTGGCCGAGGACCTGCTGAATCCTAAACTGGTGCAGCTACCAACAGTGGGTTATGCCAACCTTCCACTGCAGCCAATACAAGTAGAGGAATTTTGAATTAATCAGTTACTGCACTCCTCTACTAAGCTCTTCTGGTACCCACAAGGAATTGGGATGCTCCCTAACTTTATCTGGATCCAACCACTGTCATAAGATATTTCATATATATATATATATATATATATATATATATATATATATATATGTTAAATCTTGCCCATTAAAGTCTCATTTCAATATAAATACTTTTGAAGTTTGAAATAAAAATAAAATAAAATTCTGAATGGTGCCATATTACTTTTGTGCATAGATTTGTTTCTACTCTATTCTGTCAATGATAGGTTTCAGTTATTTACAATTTACTGCGCTCTCAACAGTTGGAAAAATGCAATTAAGATGCACAGAACATTAGCATGAGAAAGCTCTAACTGCATTAATTTCAATACCACACTCATTTTATAATTAAATTATGTAAACTTAGACCTTTGAACTCACTTCATTGGACATGAGTAATATTCATTATTTCCTTGAAAAAGAACAAAGGAATACTCCTTGTGTTTTAATAATAGAATCAAAAATGGAAAGGCGTATTAGTGATCACTGTCTCGGCTGACCTCATTATCTAGTGTACCATAAATAAGGGTTCTAGCTTGCCAATGACTGTGAAGCTCATACTGCAGTAGTTCATTAATTATTTTCAAACGTACAATAAGGGCATTAGTAAACAGCCCTCCTTAATGAGAATGAGCTGAAACTAGAGCAGATAGATATAATCTATTTTAATTAAAACCCTTTATGGTAAAAAGCCAGCCCTTATAAAAGGTCCTAGTTCTACAAAAGCTTCCGATTGCATCCTGTCTGAGAGCACTCCATCTCTGCTGAATCCCACAAATTATGTACCAACCCTTCTGAGTATTGGGGAAAGCCTTGGCAGCCCTGGCTTGTGGCCCAGTTGTGCCCATATTTGTCCAGGCATAACCCAACTTCTGTGGTCTATGCTATGGTAAGCTGTAGGTTAGATTAGTGCAACACATTAGATGTGGGGCTATATCTGAAGGCAGTTCAGAAACTTCAGCTGGTGTAGAATTCAGCAGCCAGGTTGCTCATTGGGGGAGGATGGTTTAAGCATGTTATACCAATCCTGGCCCGAACGCACTGGCTGCCAATTAGTTCCCGTGTCCAATTCAAAGCTTAAACAGCTCAGGACCGCAATACCTCAAGGACTGCCTTCCCATATGAGCTGACCTGGACCCTGCAATCATTATCTGAGGCCCTTCTGCCTGTATTAGAAAGTAAACTGATACTATGTTAAGATGACATAGATCTCCTTGCAGTTTAGTAAGATATAAAGATCAAGATTTCTAAGCTGAACAATGCTTTCCCTCTTTGTTGACTTTACCCATCTCAAAGAAACATAGAGAAATGCACTATCTAAGTATAATAAACATTGATTATGGCAGACAAGAGAACAGCAAAGAAAGTAATTTCCCCAGCAGTGAATGTAACAGCAGTTGATTAATGTAATAGAGCAGCAGTAACCACAGGGAAAGAAGGGAAGTAGATCCAATAGAAACCAAAAGGGGTAAGAATTTAATTACCAGCTTTGAAATTTCTATTCATCATTATACCATTGTGTTCTGCTATTGTTCCTATTAAATCAGCTTAATACACGAATTATGTAAAACAGAGTATGCTATTTACATTGGTTGAAAATAATACACACAATTATCCTTTGTACAGTAATTGGAAATCAGCATCTTACACACCAGCACAATAAATGGTGCTGTTAATGCCTGCAGGATTTTGAGAAGAACTTTGATGGGGAAAGGGTGTGTGTGTGTGTGTATACACAGACACATGTTGAATTTGTGTTGAATCTATTTCATTTTTCAGTCTAATCTATAGCCCGGTTTACTGCAAGGCAAAAGTAGACAACCCTTTTAAATTAGTAACAAGTTTACATTTTCATAATGTTTGGGCACTTGGAATACAAATGGTTACCTAAAAAAATGTGCACAATTCTTTTCTCCAAATAACCAGTACACTGTTAGCAACTGACATCACAACCGTATCCAAATCTACCCAGAAGTAAGTCGCACTGAGTTCAGAGAGGATTGTTCCTAGGTAGGTGTAAGTGAATACAAGATTGAATAACTCATCTATTTTTTGCTCCTCTTACACAGCCAATACACTACTACCCTTCAGATTACAACCCCCATCAGCATTGCCAGTCAGCATTGCCTGGGAGTTGTGGTCCACAAGCTCTGGAGGGCACCATGTTAGTTACTCCTGTCGTCCCCCCAAATAATTCCATACTCACACAACGTTAATGATATGAGCAGCTTCTTCCTGAGAATTAAGCGCTGGGTCCTTCAGAGTCATATTTGTGAATTTACACTTCATGTTCTACAAGAGACAACAAAGCAGCAGTAATTGCAACCATTTATTTTTATTACCGTGAAGTAGCCTTTTTGCTACTTTTACAAAACCCACGCAGTGTGTTCCATTTTATAAGGCTGCTTCAGCCAAACTGACTAATTTAGGCATCCATTTATGGAGTCTCAGGACTCAGCAAATAAAATGTTTTAAGTGTGTTGTAAAGTGCAATATGCAAATGCGAATCTAGATGGCAATGGTGAGCTATGGCAAATTCAACATATTTTTCAAAAAATTCTTTTTTAAAAAAGTGTTTTCCCAGCGTTTTATATATGTGTGTAGATTCCACCTCAGTCTAACTGTGAGAATAGAAGCGAAAGTCACATCAGAAGTACAGTGTACCAAAATTAAACTTGGTTACAAATCATCCTGTCCCCTTTCCTTCTGGGTGCTACAAGACAAAGATAAAGGGCAAATGGAAAGCACACCATTTTGGCTCCTTTGGTTTTTGAAGTGCCTGCACTAGCAGGAAAAAAATATTGGGTTATACCCAGACTAAGTAAGTTGAATGCAGTTCCTATCAAAGTAATAGAATCATAGAATTGTAGAGTTGGAAATGACCCTGAGAGTCGTCTAGTCCAGCCCCTGCAATGCAGGAATCTCAGTTAAAGCATCCATGGCAGATGGCCATCCAACCTCTGCATAAAATCCTCCAAGGAAGGAGAGTCCACAACCTCCTCAGGGAGACTGTTCCACTGTCAAATAGTGAGTCCACTCTGAGTAATAGTGGGCGCCACCACCTGTTATGCTGACTCTAACAACATGAAATGAAATATATATCCTTCCCCATTTGAACACAGAATGCTCTGTTCGGTATCTTAGACAGAATGACTTGGATTTAAGTCCCATATTTCAGTGGTACGCCTGTGGAAGTAGGCTTATGACTGTTTATTTGGTCCTTCATAGGACTCATTCTTTTCAATGTGGGTGACAATCTCAACTATTAAGTCTACTGTCATTTCATTTCAAATACCTGTAATTGATCACGAACGTATGGAATCCTTAAAATCTCTGCGGCGGATGGCCTCTGTGAAGGATCCTTGCTCAGCATGCTGAAATATTAATGATACGAAATGAAATCTGTTCTCATGCAAACTATAAAACCGCTGTGGGTGAAACCAGCTTGAAACAAAAACAAAAAACCCACCTGTGCAGCAAGGTATTAAGTTCCCTTGGATAGATGGCTGGCAGAGATGGTGCTTCACCTTCCACAATTTTTAAAACAATGGACAAAAAATTGTGACCAGTAAATGCATGATCCAAACAGCACATCTCATACAAAATGCATCCTAGGGACCTGAAAGGAAAATAAATAAAATGAAAGCAATTCAAGGACAAGAAAATTCTAAATTCAGTGGCTGGTGTCTGCTTGCAATGTTGTTGCACTTTAATCCTGGTCATACAAAACTATGAGCCCCTTTCTATTGAAAATGAAACACTTTTATCTCAGTGAAAAGCCTGTTCTTCCATTTCCACAGGGTTCATAACGTATAACGTAAGTGATATAAAAGAACAGAAGGTCATAAAATAAGTGTCGCCTTGCCATGACCATATTCAAGTTACACTTCCCTACAGGAATCTTGGGTGTGTGGGTGGAGAGACTGTTTGCAAATGTGAAGGCAAAGCAGGCTGAAGACGGAGCCTTTTGGGTACCTCCCAGTTTTTGCCCCTGTTAAAAAAAATGTTTTCTTAAAATAAGAACAATAAGAGGAAGAATGAATGTAAAAATAAAACTAATAGGGTATGTGAAACCAACTGCGGGAAACTGATTTGACAGGATATAAGCCTTGAAGCCTACCAAGTGAAGGGATGAGGGAAGGAGAGAACATGTAAGTACATATGAAATATTATGAGGCTGATTTTTTTATTTTTGCAGGAAGTTTTAAAAAAAACTGTTACAAAATAATAGTTCAAATTATCAAACCCCCAGAAAGTGAAGATCCGATGAAAAACCAGGTGCTGGGGCTATGGCAGGGCTGCTTTAAATCCCCTAGGAGTGGACCTAAAGGAAGTCTACCTGTCCTGTCAGGCCTGCTCCCAGGCCAATTTGAAGGCAGGCTTGAATCCAAAATGCCAGCCGATGAGATGAATTTGAAGCTGCCCTCATCAGCTGGGGCAATCCTTGGCACCAGGGCCCCTGTTGGGTGAGGGTGCCAGGAGGCATTGTCAGCCCACAACGCAGCCACACTCAAAGCATAAGCGGACATGTCCTTGAATACATTTATTTTTGCAATAGATACATTTCAGCAACATGGAAGCATATTTATTCAAATAATTTCATTTCTTCAGAGAAAGGAGAGATAAGCACGCAACCTAAGCAGAAAGTGACCTAGAAGCCAGTGCTGTCTCCAGCATGATCGTTACGATTAAATGAAAGATTCACGTGAAACAGAACGCTGCCTGCTTACCAGATATCTGATTTTGTGTCGTAACCCTGGTGTTGCAGGGCCTCGGGACTCATGTAGAAAGGCGTCCCAGTAAAAGTAGTTGCTAAATCACAGGATCCCATCAAGAGACGAGAAACACCAAAGTCCCCTTGAAAAATATTTTGAAATATAGTTACTTGAAGGGGGAAAAAAGCTAAATGACATATTCTAGCCTGTGCTATTTTATATCTATTTTAATTAAATGTGCAGCTCAGAGAGTTCATAGGCATGGGCAAATCTTCTCACTTTTGGTTTCTCTCTATCTCTCATGTTACCAGCCTTAAGGTCAGTCCTGCACACTTCCACATCAGTTTGCAATTTATTTATTTTTACAATGAAGTCCTCATAAAAATCAAGCAGCATTTTAGTGCAATTTCCCCCCCTAAATATAGTACATTTTCCAAAGCAATTTCCCTAATATAATGTATTATTGTACATTATTTTCAGTAACATATGCTTTATGCCACTTTATCCTAGCATATTCCTTTCCGTACACATTACTTGGCTAGAGAACTGCATTGCAAAATTCAGAGAACTGCCAATTTGGATGATTTTGGCTGCTGAGTGGCAGTGATTATCTAGGGTTAATTTTTCTGTTATGCTAGCATAGTGGGCACTATGCACCTTGGGAATAAAGAAATATGATATGTATAAGCAAATTGTAAAAAAATAAGTATTCACATTTGCTGTTGATGGTTGTCACATGATTACATGCACCCGAATAGTTACAAGCACTACACATGCACAGTGCAACCCAGTTCACACAAAGCATGGCTTAGTGCAGATGCACAAATGTGCAGGTTCCCAGAGAGATCATGGCTGCTTTGCTCTTCCTCTGGTCCCGCTGCTGCTGCACTGCTGTGAGCTAAGCCATGGTCTGGTTTACCATGTTGACCAAACCTGATCTTACGGTTTGTTTCACTCTAAACTAGGCTTCCTCAAACTTGGCCCTCCAAATGTTTTTGGCCTACAACTCCCATGATCCCTAGCTAGCAGGGGGATGATGGGAACTCTCGTCTCAAAACATCTGGAGGGCCGAGTTTGAGGAAGCGTGCGCTAAACCATGAGCTATAACCAAGATTTATTCTATGGTTTAACATTCATGGTTTGTCTGGAGTGAGATAATCCACCAGCCTGGGTTTGGACAACCATGGCTTAGCTCACAGCAACCCAGAAGGAGGAGGACAGGAAGAGGAGCAAAAGAGCTGTGATCTCATTTCCAGGAGCCTGCAAATTTGCGCTAAGCCATATTTCGGCTTAGCGTTATGTGCGAATTGAACCTATGAGAAGTAACTGTGGAATGTACACTGGATCCAACTATACAGTACAAAATTTCATGCAGCCAGAAATCATTTCCATGGCACACAGACAAACCACATGAAACTTATTTAACGGGGCAGAGGTTTCACTGGCCTGTATGAGGAGCAATAAGGCTGCACCCCTCCACTGATCTCTCAATGCGTAACTACATCCAACATCTGCATTAGCATTCATATGCAATGCTCTGTTACACCCAGGCATTGTACAGATATAACCAGACAAAGATAAGCTTTCAGAAACTTCTGAATAGCATAGGCATCATTATGTCATATATTTATCATTTTAAAAAATATGGGCTGCAACAGAAAAAGGTGGACTGCAACAGGAAAGTACCATTTTTAAAATGGAAAGAGGGGTATAGATAAGGAGGGGGGAACCTGCTCCCTGTCCCAAGATGCTTTTCTTGTCAGTGAAGCTCTCATACTAGGCGTACTTGGCCAGGAGAAATGCTTTGGAAGACAGGGGCAGGTTCTGCACTCCCTGCACCCAACAACCTTGGCTACTGGCTGGGGTCCCATCTGACATCTGCCCTGGGCCCATTTTTGCTGGTGCTCTACTGAGTGCTAGGACAGCTTGGAGTCTCTGTTTAAGTTTCCTGCAATGTCCTGGAGCACCCCAATGCAGCATCATTCCATGGCACTGTGCAAGCGGAAATGTTACGCAATAATAAAATCACATTGAAAAACATCTTACCAATTTTAAGAAGGTTGTTTTTCAAAAAAATATTCTTCGCTTTCAAATCTCTGTGAAGTATTCGCCTGAATATGAAGAGAAATGAAACTCTTTTAGTAGGATGAAAAAGTTAATAGCACATCTTACAGTCTTTTAGACTATTGCGAAATGTACTCTTTGCTCCTAATCACCTAACTTTGAAGTGCAAATGACACTGAACACATTTACTATCGTTGGACATACTTCCAAGCAAACATGTATAGGACTGAGCAGCATGTCAAATTTACTTCCAAATATTGGCCACCAGCAACCCCGACAAGAAAGTGTGTCTAACGTGAATGAATTTATTATTTCGGTCACAGACCAGTTCCAGCCCACATACAATATCAAGGAAGTCATAAAGCACGATAGGGATACATTTGAATTTGCAATTAAGTATAACAAGGACAATACAGATATGGCAACAGTTAAAAAATATATAAATTAAAACTTAGTCACCAAAATATAACCTAAAATTATCATTTAAGGCCTTAATCATTATGATAGCACAGCTTGTTCCCTAAGTTTTATGGCAAACGCACAGAATTTGGCTACCCTTAGCGTTATCTCAGGATCCTTGTCCTCTACCAGGGATTTTAGAAATTGAAGTTCGGATTCATTTGGAGATTTTTGCATAGCAGGGGTAATATATACCGAGCGTATTCCACACAAAATCAACCAGAAACTGCATTTTAATCATAGTTTGAGAAGAAAGACTGCTCCTGTGAAAACTGTGAATGAAAGGATCTATATACACATTTAACATGTGCAGTAGTATCTTCTTTGCTGCCAATCACCATAATCTACCAATTTCATACAGGGATTAATCACAATGGAGCAGCAGATAAAAATGCAGCCCTTTGCCATTATGGATCTGTTTCCACTGAAATTAACAGGACAGCCCACAAATGCAATAGCTTTGTGAGCCCTAGTTAATAGAGATTGGAGTTTGCTATATCACAACATGGTGTGGAGACAAGCAGACGGAACACAAGTCTGAAAAGGTGTGTGTGTGTGTGTGTGTGAGAGAGAGAGAGAGAGAGATTGGGTTCCAACTTCTGATTTAGCATGGGGCACTTTCAGAAAGAATAATCAGGGCCAAGAGGAGACACAGGAACAATGGACACTGTAAGAGGCTGTGATATTTACTACTTTCACAGCAGATCCTAAACCCCAAGAAGAACATGATACTCCTGAATCTTTGTTGCTCTGGGAACTTTCTCTCTCTCTGTGTGTGTGTGTGTGTGTGTGTGTGTGTGTGAGAGAGAGAGAGAGAGAATAATTCAGATTTTAAAATTGCCCATCTGCTCTTCAGCAGTATACCCTCTTTTTATTTGGCTCACTGAATGGCTGCAAATATGGCCCAAGCCATTTAGGGCTCATAGTCAATGCTAGCACCTTGAGTTGCACATATAATAGCATTTCTATGCTTTCTCTGATAACAGTGTGCACCAAGAAATCCAAGACCTGAAATGTACATATTAATTATTAAAGATGCTCGCAATTAAAAATGGATGATGCAATAAAAAAATGAATATGGAAAAATAAAATTGTTGAGTTGGCAGCATGTGACCGGGATAGTACTATTAAATAGTGGTCACCTTGAAAACATCAAAAGGTGTTTAAAAATTCATTGCTTCAGTCACTAAAGAATTAAACAATCATTTTTAGAAAATTTAGTGGTTCATATGATCAAAAGTATCTTTTAAAATAACCCATGGGGATTTAAATATTTTCTTGCCCTGTTTTGCAAGAATGATGATGGTGCTGAGAATTCTGGGAACGGTACTACTCTGCGTGGAACTTAAAAGTCAAAACTTGAAAAATATACTCCCATCCATCACACATTAATAGTCCTATTCCAGGCGGCGAAAGAGAATGTTATATCAAAGGTAAGTAAAGGCTAGTCAGCAAATTTTAATTTTCACTTTAATATTAGCAAGCAAGAGGTGCAAAATGTGCTTAAGTTTATAACCATTTCAAAGCAAATGACTGTACCTTTCATGCATGTAGTTGACTCCAAGTAACAACTGTATAAACCATTCTACTATTTGGCTTTCAGGAAATACTTTGCCAGCTTCTTTGTACTGCTGAATGTTAAAGTCGAGGTCTCGACCCTGAAATGCAGCAGCAAATTTACAATCAGAAACATTAAATTGCAACTTCATTAAAATTAATGGGTGGGAACTGCTATGAACCTGAACAGAGCTAAGATCCCTCCAGTTTGATGAAAAATGTTTCAGGGCTGAAGCTGTGGTTAGTACATGTTTCTGTAATAGTTTTAATAACACAGATGTTCTACACAAATCAAAATATGATCATGAAAGCTTTCCTTTTAAGTCCAAGGCCAAAAAACCAAACCAAACTAAACTAAACTAATAACCACAATATTTGTGGTGCTAATTATTATGAAGTTGCCAAGGTTCTTATGCCAAGCCAATAATGATTGTCTTGTGAACCCTTGCTTCCTAACCTGTGGGTTTTGGCAGGTCACCAGCATATCCATGATAGAGATGGCACTATCCTGGTGTGCAGAAGACCATCATGAAAGCTACAACATGTAACAACCCACCACCAAATGATTTCTATGCAATATTACACACATTTCCCCATCCACTTTTTAGGAATATACATTCAGCAGAAGTAAATGAAGTCCCACCTCACAGTATTCAGTGATGATGCAAAAACTCTCTCCTTCTACAAAGCTGGTATAAAATTTGACAATGGCTGGGTGGTCTAGCCTGGACAGCAATTGCGCTTCTAGATTTGCCTCAACTGTTTCATTAGGCTTGATGTCTCCCACGGATATCTCTTTCAAAACTTTCCTGTTGATAGAAAAAGAGAAGGAAAACATAATGTGGATTGCTTTCACACTAGCCCTTTTCTCTGGGATTGCTATTTTTCGTTCATGTGCTTTTTATAGAGGATGCCCTTGCTGTCAGATTCTCTACAATACATTTCTTCCATGCTTTGAATTGCGATAATTTCTTAAACAATAGAATACCTGTCTGAACAGGCAATGTACTATCAAGCCCTTTCTTGGGTCTTGTGCGTTTAATTTAAAGTTTATGGTTTGAAGGTCCTATCAGTTTTATCACTTTTGTCAGTTTCTGACTTCAGAAACACAGGAAGCTGCCTTATGATGAGTCAGATCATTGGCTCATCCAGCTTAAAATTGTCTACACTGAGTTTTGTGAAGGATTGTGGAAATTATATGATTCCCCAGCCCCCATTATGGCAGTAAAACCAGCAGTTGTTATTATTCTCCATACATGAAATAAATTCATTAACAAGAAAAACCGGATTTTTAAGGACTCAATCAAAGTTTAAGTTGCTAATTCTGAGCAGTGAGAATAAATGCTTACTGGAGAGAACTTGTAATATGCTAAGGAGATTGACTGTGCATCAGAATTCTTATCAAGGCAGATGGAAATATGGACTTAGAAGAATTTGTGGAAAGAAGTAGAGCTGCATATGGCAGGTAGCTCTTTCAGGAATTATACGCCTTAATCTTCAGGAAAGCTTTAAAAAATTTTTGTTCAGATGATACTTTACTCCAAAAAGACTGAAACATATATATCCCGCGGTAGGTAACAAATGCTTGAGAGGTGGGAAGATAGTAGACATACTGCATGCTTGGAGGGTGGGGAAAGGGTGTACGTTTATTAACAGGTTCTGGGAATTAGTTTGGAGAGTATTAAAGAAATGACAAATTATTTTGCTTCGTTACATCAAAAAGAAAAGAAAAGAAGTAAACCAAGAGGATGAAGAGCTGCTTATTTATTTACTTAAGGCTCCCAGAATAGCAATTTGCTAAAAGCCGAAACAAAATGTATCTTCAAAATAGAAAAGGTTGCCAAGCTAGTAAATGTTTTATTGAAAAGTGCTCATTGTTTCTGCAAATGCACAGCTTAATGTGAGTTCTGTAACAGATAATCAGAAACATTTACTATGTTACACATGATTTTTTTAAAGAACCCAACTCAGAAATAAATATATATTTTTCCTGTGCAAACATTATTAATGGTTTGCTAGTTATTTAATGAAAGGGCAGATAAAGAGCCAACCAAAATTTCTGCTAGGTAGAAGTTTAGCAAAAGAACTGCAAACTACAATTCCCCATGTATTTTAATCAGGCAAATAATCATAACATAAAGGATAATACTGCTTTATATCATAATCTGATGAGTTTATGTATGAAATATTATACTGTACTAGGGCTTTAGAAGAGTAAAGCAATATATTTTCAATATTTTAAATAAATCAAAAGGTAAATTTCAGCTCAAGTTGTATGATGAGATCATTTCATATTTTAAACGCCACTCAGTATTGCTCAGTTATACAATCACAGCAATAGAAATAATAATAAAGGAAGCACAAATTATTTGTTTTGAAAAAATGAATTATCATAAATCCCTGTAAGGTATTTCCTTACAAACATCACACATCAGTTACCCAGTAACAGAGCATACATTTTCTTTCTTTTTATGCATACAACCTGCCTAAAACCCTTCTGGAAATCTTATAATAAAACATGGAATTCGCTTGTCTACATCGTTGCAGACTTGCTCAGCGCTGTTAAAATAGGTAATATCTACAGCAATCTTCTCATCTTTGACTTGACACCATGACATTTCTTATTCCTGCTCACAGATCATGTCACTAAACTGTCAAACAGAATGAGTCTTCTTTAAATATCACTTAATACAAGATCTTTATGCACCAAAAGACAGCACTGAAAACCTGACGCACCAGGACAACTTGTCACCTAATTCACTCAAGTGATTTGGATGCTGCCATCACCTGTCAAACAACATGACAAATGTTTATCTTATTAAAATTCTATCACAGGATAGCAAATCAAGAGTCTGTACACTTATAAATTAGCCCACAGTTTTCTGCTCCACAATGGTACTTCAATACCAAACTGACAGCTTGTACTATCGTCAACTGGAAAAAGCATTGTTATGGTATCAGAATTGTAGTTACTTCTACATGCAATCTGGGACAGATGGCATAGATAGTTTTATGGGGTAGCTTACTTCTGTTGTGTCTTGAAGCAGTAGAATGTCCGAAATACTTATATTGTCTCAGGAGAACACTTTTTAATCTGGTTCCCTGGACCATTTTTTGCCTGTAAAACCACACAGAACATTTTTACTGTTTACACTAATCAGAAACTAAGACATAAGACAGTTGTTGAAGGTCTTTTTTCTAATTCAGTGCATCGTGGAGTGTCCCCCAATAAAGCCATATGTGTGGCATATTGCTTGAAAACGGTGTGGAATTTTTTTTTACTACTTCAGTTGGTAAACATTGGTCACATCTGTACTATACATTTAAAACACTCCTATACTACTTTAATTGACACCACTTCCCCCAAAGAATCTTTGGAACTGTAATCTGTTAAGGATGCTGACCTCATTGAGCTAAAATTCCCAGCATCCTTAACAAAGTACAGTTCCCAGGATTCTCCCTATCTGTTAAAGTGACACAAGAATGCTTTAAATAAATGCTGCAGGTGTGACAGTTGCCCAAGGCAAAGAAAAGGTAAAAAAACCCCACCCAGTTTGTAAAAATCAGTTCCTTTTCTTGGGATTTTTTCCCCAGGTGCTTTTGTTTCCCCCTGAGGTGCTTTAGTTTACAGAAATAAAACTGTAAATGTTAAGTGGCTAAAAAATGCAGACGTTTTTCACTACCACCATATGTAGGTGACAATAAATTAGAATAATTGCACCCTAGGTCTACTTCTGTGTAAATTCTGCAATTGAAAGTGCACCTAGTTCAACTCTGTTTTTCATATGAAGTTAAATATTATTGGTTTCATTTATTTATTTAAAAGATTCACAGGCTGCCTTTTAATAATCACAAGAATAGAAAAACATATTATAACCAAAGTCCTCCATCCGTTAATAAAGCCAGCAGTAATGAAAGCACACATTCAGCCCAGAAGTAAAATACAATTTGTAACTATAACTGCAAAATATCAGCAGCAAGAGAAAACATCAGATAATACGAATAGGAAGGACAGAACAGCTTTCAAGTGTGAGAAATCGTGTTAGATCTTATTAAGCACAAGAGATCTCACCTGAAATCAATGGGAATCTTACCCCTAAGTCAGCACCGCTTCTCTGCCACTGACAGAGGTGGCAGAGTGGCTGGTGCGAGTGGCAGAGATGGTGGACCTGGCGGCAGCAGCAGGGCAGTGTGGCACTTCTCGTTTCGCCTCAAGCAGCAAAACAGGATGTGCTGTCCCTCAAAGTGAAGGATGTAATGATTCTGCTAAGGTCCAAAAACCATCTTTGGCCAAGGGAGAAGACGACCGATCAATGCATACGCTACACTGTAAAGTATGGACACCAGACCTGAAATCCAAGCCAGCCAACCAGGATACTTGGGCTTGAGTTTGCAGAAACCTTGGCTTGGAATAGATCTTTTTAAAAAGAGCTTCAGCACCACTGAAACATCTTCTAACGTTTTGCTGAACAACTACTGGGACTTTGGGGCACTTGGTAGCAACAAACACTGGCACATACTATGTTCAATGCATTTTGGAGTAAGAAACAATTTTTTTCTCAGAAAAGACTATGTGTGGTGTGTATGCACACGCCCTTCAATAGCTTTCCAAATATGAGCATGACTAAAACCATGAAGCACCAACAACTAGTGTGGGGGCACGAGCAGATTAGACTTGAGTACATGTAAATACATTTGGTGAAACTGGGTTCCTCGCATGACGGCCCAGCTCCAGACCCAGGGGCAAGAAAGGAGGAAAGGCGGCAGCAGCACCACTGTGCCTCTGCTGAGCTCCAGCGCATGAACAAACTGCAGAGGCAGCTTCCTTGCATGGTGGCAACACTTGCCCTGCCCCAGGCACCCGCAGCCTACACTATGCTGCTGCAGTGTGGATTTGTCCCCTCTTTGTACTCTATTGAGTAAGTGAATATTGTTCCTACTTCAGTAAAGGAGGTCTAGGGACCAGCACAGTTTTCCTACATTGCAGAGGGTGAGAGGCATTCTATAGCCATGGCTAAGCACTCTACACACCCTTTCTCTTTTTCTTGGGGTGTTATGCTACTGATTTATTATTTGCTTGACTAAATAAAAAACAAACCTTGTAATGCAGCTCTGCTTTGAGATCTGGAATTGTCTGAAACAGTGGAAATACAAAAGGACAGAATGCTGTCGATCACTGTCAAACTCATCTCTGCAGCCAAAAGTGATGGGCAGTTAGCGCAATAAAAATCAGAGATCAAACTAATAGGAAAGGAAGGGCAAAAAGGAAGCTGAGAATGCTCCAAGAGAATGCTCCCTTAAGATAAATGGCATCTGGCCTATATAAGCAGTACACTGCATCTGCCCCTGCCTCAAAGCTCAGAAGACTGCGCGGAGCGTATGCTAATATCCCAGGGAGAGACAGTCATTGCCAAGTTCTATCTGCAGCAAACTCTGCCAGTGAGGTTCCTTAGAGGGTCTTCCATCCACAGACTCACCCAGGACTCCTGCCTTGGTTCATTTGAAAGCTTTATTTAAATGAATGTAGAACACACAGTTCTTTTAAAGACACAAGGGTATTATTTAATAAAACAGCGAGCACTGCTGCTACCTACGATGTGTTGCAAAATAACTGAAGGGCTTTAAACTCTCACTGTCACATGCAACAGATGATTGTATAGCCAACCTTTTAACCATCCTGCAAGCAAGCTAACATTCAACCCCAGTTTACAGCAAGGGTGCCAAACATAAAGCAGGTAAGTTTCCAAACACAATAGGAGGAAATTCTTTATCAAAAGAAATGTTTAATGTGTCTTGGCAAACACTGTTTGGGGAATCTTTTCTATTACACCCCTTAGCAAACTTAGGTGAGCTGTTGTAGAATAATGATCCCAAGCCATTCTTATCAAGAAATATTAAGCCCTTTCTTCAATAAAGAGCTTCCTAGAAAATGTCTAGTCAACCTGATGTGATGTGGGATTGACAGTGACGTGGGATTGAGGATTGGAGTAATCATTCTGTGATATTATGGCAGTGGACAAAGCTGTATTCTAACTTTTGAATTAATTTTTTTTAGGAAATGTGCTGAGAACCATATCTACTGTAAAGCCATCTTTTTTTAATCTTGGATTTTTCTATGATTGCTATGGATCCTATTTGTGTGCCATCAAACCTAAAGCTCAGAGCAGTAGACCCTGCACAAGTCATTGATACAACCTGGGATGCCTTACCGTGCAGTCCTGGTTAGGCACTGTGACCCATAATTGAAAGCACAGGTAACTCTCCAGAAAAGTACAAGTACCCCAGGAAAGTCAGCTGTGTTGAAGTACATAGTGGATGCTTTTCAGACAAGATGGATGAGCAAAATCTAGCCGAGGCTGAACCACCTAGAGATCTCGGCTGTGGGAACCAGGGGCACCGAAGCAGTGGCGGATCCAGTAAATAAATTGATGGAGAAATAATCCAACAAAGATTATCAGGGAACTGAAGCATCTTCCCTATGTGAGAAGGGTGCAGAGTTTATAGGGGAAGGCACTGTGGAGGATTATAAAACGTTTCAACTTTCAAATGACATGGAGAAACGTAAATAGAGGTTTTTCTCCCACTCTAGTCAAAATAAAACTTGGGTTCATGACATCTAGTGAAACTGGAGATTCGGGACAGATGAAAGGAAGTACTTCAGTACTGCAGAAATTTATTTACAGACTCTCCTTCCTTGGAGGTTTTTAAGCAGAGGTTGGGTGGCCATCTTCCATGGATGCTTTGGTTGAGATTCCTGCATTGCAAGAGGTTGGACCAGATGACCCTTGGGGTCCCTTCCAACTCTACAATTTTATGATTCTATAAGATATGATGAAGGCTACTAACTTAGGTGGCTTTAAAGGGGGATTTGACAAATTCATGATGGCTATCTGTGGCTATGAGTTGTAATGGCTATATGCTACTTTCAGGATCAGAAACGAGCAAAACTACACTGAATGCCAGCTACTGGGGAACAACAGCAGGGGATGGGTACAGCTTTCATGTGCTGTATCTGTTTGGCTACTGTGGGAAAGGGGACTAGATTAGCTTTTTGTTTGATTTTCCAGGGCTCTTCTTCTCATTTTATGCTCTTGTGAGATACAAAAAATCATAAATTCTGGTATAGAGGCTCTTAAGTGGGACCACCTGAGCAGAGCTCCAATTTTAAAGATTTCCAGAAGTCTGCTGTTTTCCTCCTTTTGCAAAGGTAGATTAGTGGACAAGGACTTATGCTAATATTGCGGGAGCCAGCAATGCTGACACATTATTTGGCAGTGTTTTCTATTATTCAGAGTGTAGAATGTTGTGGAAATAATAAATTAACTGCCAAGTCAAATGTAAATTTGCTACATGATTGCCAATCAATATGTAGGAACAGAAAGTCCATTTAAAAATGGATTGCAATTGGCCTTGCTTGGGTAAGGAGATTAATCATCAGAGGATGTCTGAGGGCATATGCTATAAATTTAAAAGAAGACTGATGCATTAACGGGGGTGGGGGTGGGAGGGAGCAGTGACATAAATGATGAATTCTGGTTATTATGGGAAAGACTAGTTTTTCATTCAAAAGAAAACAGATTTATGAGGGATTAATGTGGGAGAGGTGGGTAGGAATCAAATATTTTTGTCTTGATTAAGCAACCTTGATGAATGCATGCTATGGTTTCATCATATTACACAGGCAGAAAACTCCTATCCCTGTTGGGCCGGATAAGACAAATCCCCTTGGCCAGCAAAAAACAGTAAGCTGGTGCAGTGAATTCAAACACACATTGCAGTACCACTGCACTGGTCATAAACCACCATTTGCAAAAAAAAACAACACTAGATTGGCAGCACTATGAAGAGGAGAGGAATGTTTGGAGTTTGGGCAGGGCAGGGAGGAGCTGGCATCCTATGTTCACTCAGGGGTCTGGCGTTCCTGCCCCTCTGATGCCAGTGTAACATCAGGTCAGTGAGAGGCAGTGCGGGTAACAACACACCCACTGACTCACTGAACCTTCACGTTCATGCACTTGTTTGAGCATAAGATTCCAACAAGCAGCACAGCACTTAGACTAGAGTATATAGATCGCTGCAGCAAAAGAACATACCGTAGTTTACTTATATAGATGTGTGACATGGGGCTGTATTGCAGTGCTCCCATGACTATAGATGCCAAGCATACGAAAGCACAAGCAGGAACTTTGCTGATGGGAAAACGTGTGTTAAATTTATAAGCTACACCTTCAGCATCCGAGTACGCCAGGGCAGATAAGATTTAAAGCAAAAATGCCACAACTTAATAATGTTTTTCTAACAACCTAAAACAGGTTGTGGCTTTAAAAGTATGGAGTGTCTGGAAGGCCTGTCAAGAAAGGCGCCAAGTGAGCCTCCCTGGGGAGGACATTCCAAAAGGTACGGTGCCACCACCAAAAAGGCTCACCATTCGCTCTACCTCAAAAAGCAGTAGCAACCAGAATAAAGTCTCAGGTGAAGATCTCAGTGACTGAGCAGACTAGCATGGGGAAAGACCATGCAACTCTTTGTGAAAAAGCACAACAATCCCGATAGCTAGGAGAACAAAATAAAACAAGGGCTGTTCTTAAGGAGCTCGGCCTTACTGTTGTTTTTTTGTATCCCTTATAACATCTTGATTTCAGTTATCCTCATTTTACCTGGGAAAAGGACAGCCAAGGCAAGAGTGCTCTAGTTTGCATTTGCTGACCTTGATTTATATTGGGACACTCTTGTTAGGTATGCATACCGTGGTGCATGATTACTCTGGACATGCAAATACCTTCTTCAAGAGTCCTGCTGGATGAGGCCAAAGTCACATGTAGTCCACCATCCTGTTCTCACTGCGGCTAACTGGATGCCTATGCAAAGCCCACAAGCAGGACTGAGCGCAACAGTGCTATCCCAACTTACAGTTTTACTCTCGTACATCTCCACAAAGAGACCGCTCAGTACTGGCCTCGTTAGCTGGAAGTCCAGGTCTCTACTACCCATAGGACTGGATGAAGGAAAAAATATGTGCTCCAAGCTAGTCCCTGGGAGACTAACAGTCACCGCATTTGTCCCTCTTCTGCCTGCAACTGCACCTATGTAATTAGGGTGTAGATGTGTGCTGTGGACAAGCTAAGTTCTAGCTTCCTCCCTGCCCCCCCCATCCAAAATGATTGTTACCAACAGCAACACCATCCTCAGCTCAAAGCTAGGGATTGCCTTGCAGAGGCCACGTTTATATTGCACTGCTCTTTCCATCTCCTTTATCACCTAAATAAAGTGTTGTCTCCTGTGATCTTTCAGTTGTAGTGTGCATTCTACAATGTCCTTGAGTTTCCCTTTCCAAAAGCTTGTTCTTTTCACACAGACACATGCATATATGTTGTATAGTACAGTGTTCTAAAACAGGGGTTCCCAAACTGTGGTCTATGGACCACCAGGGGTCTGCGACCTTCATTCAGGTGGCCCATGGCATGTCTACATTAAATATTTACATAGATTGTTATTTTTTTGTATTTTTATTGCTCCTTTTATTTCTTACGCTGCATTTTATTGTACAGTATTACAATTGGGATTCTATGGAATGAAATGCAAGAAATAAAAGCAGCAATAACAATACAATTAAAAACCACACAGCACCTGGTCCAGCACATTACAACTCCTACAACAGGCAAAAAAATATTTAAGTGATCCACCAATACCGCTAGCAATTTTCAAGTGGTTTGCGGGGTGGGGTAGGAGTCAAGGAACTGCTGTTCTAAACATTGTGTGAACTCCTTGATATTGCAGTGGGATTCAAGCGCTTCTTGTCACCTTTCACGTCTCCTACCCACTGGTCTCTTCCAAAGAGGGTACTTGGGCATTATTATACAGAACATTTGCCATCACCCTATATGGACTGATGCCTCCCATACACGGGTCGTGTGGTAGCTGGTACTTTAGCTTTCTTCTTCTAGTGAACTTTTTGTGCTTTCTGTTTCGCAGCTAGAGGAGCACATAACAGGATTGTGACTATGTTAGGCTGCCACAAGCAGTAGAAAAGCAGCCACTTGGAATAGCATGGTCCTGCATAATAAGTGGCACAATCATTCGTAATGATGGGCAGATGTTACTAGATACTTATTAAATAATTAACTTCCTAAATTTCAAGCAATGGATCTAAACCCCCTATTGGACACACAAAACAAATTGTGAACCTCTCTGCCTTTGACATGAAGTCTTCAAGTCCTCAAAACCAGAGCCATCTGGAAGAGCACATATTTGCAAACAAAAACTCCTATCTATACCATCATCATTTCCAAGGGGGTGCCCCAGAAGATAACTCCCATGAACAAAAATTGTAATATGGCACAATTTAAAAAACCATCTAATCAGTGGGGACTGTCATTCAACATATCAACAACTTTTACAAGAGACTTTCAACACATATTCCTACCGCCATTTCCCAATTCTGCAGGCTATGTTTGTGCCCCTGCTATTTTGATTATTAAAAATGTACATTGTTGTTGTTTAGTCATTTAGTCGTGTCCGACTCTTCGTGACCCCATGGGCCAGAGCACGCCAGGCACTCCTGTCTTCCACTGCCTCCCACAGTTTGGTCAGACTCATGTTTGTAGCTTCGAGAACACTGTCCAAAAATGTACATTATGGAATCCAATTTGAACCATCTACCTGATGAATGGCTCTTGCTTATAAAAGCTCATGGCTTTTGCAAGGTATCTGTTGGTTTTCAATACTTGCACTTTCAATGTACCATGTATAATCCTTGTTCAGCAATGTAACAAACTTCCAAGGTAAGTCCATATTATTTCGACTGCATAAATGAAGGACTGAGAGACACTGACATATTCAACAACAGTCAGTAACTCCTTAGCTCAGCAGAGATTCAAACTCAGGTCAATCAGGTTTGACTCCAGCATCTCATTTAGTAGGCCACACTGCCCTAGTTCACACATGATGGTAAAGCTAACTATGGCTTACTGGGACTGTGCAAAAAAAGCTGGCTCACTAGAGGCGCTTGCACCTCCTCAGTTCTAAGCAAAGGCTTGGATGGCAGTGGACCTTGGTAATATGGTGCCCTGTGCAAGGCCAAAATTTGACTCCCAACCCCCCAGCCCTCGCAGTGGCTTCCCAAAGCTGGGTAAGGGAGGCACTGGGCTTTGGGAAGGAGGTGAGAGGGTTCTGACAGGGTCCTAGAGCCCTCCTGTTTCCTTCCCACATCTGGGCAAGCACTAACTAGGCTTTGGGAAGAAGTTGGGAGGACTCTAGGACCCTGTCAGAGCCCTCTCACCTCCTTCCCAAAGCCCAGTGCCTCCCTTACCCAGCTTTGGGAAGCCACTGCGAGGGCTGGGGGGATGGGAGTCAAATTTTGGCCTTGCACAGCTCCTTCCCTCACACCTCCTTCCCAAATGAGGCTCTTACTAGGCTTTGGGGAGGAGGCAAGAAGGCACCCCCTGAGGCTCGTGATGTCAACCATGCAAGTAGCTGTGCTCACCCTGCTCTTCAAAAGGAGAGCACAGGCGGTTTGATCAACATTTTAGCCAAGCCTAGACATTTATCATTTGACACTGCCATGCTTTACCTAGCTGTAACCTGTAGACCCATGTTGGAAGGCTTTACTGAATTAATAAAACTTTCAGAATCTCCAGCCATGGTTTTGGTTTGGGTTCTGGGCCTGAGGGGGAGAGTCAGGACAGGAGATTTTATTCCTGATCTACCATGAGCAACTGGGACTAGAGGGGATTTTATTTAGATAGATAGACAGATAATGATATACACCTCAAGTTCATATTACTTAAATCTAGCAACCATTTCACTAGATCAAAGTGAGCTGTGTGTTCTATAAAGTTGAGAAAACCTACATGAATTCTGATAAAGCAAGCAGGAAAGTTTCCTAAATAAATTCTGTAAATAGTAATCTTACCTAAGAATATTTTAATTCATTAGATGTGGCATTAAAAGCCTCAGATCTTTTTGACAAATGCAAGATAATTCCACATGGGAAAACATCATTTTCTCTACTTGTTTGCACTTGGGAGGGTGTTGATAATTTATTTTTATTAGCAAGAAACTCAACAGTCTAGTCATAAATCTGTCACTTTAACACTGATTGTAAGTTGTTTACTTCCCTCTGCAAAATACTATTATACATATGACACCATTATGTGCAGAAAGCCACTTTACAGTCTATAAATTGGGTGTTTACAGATTGACATTCCATGCTGAGAAGCTGCTGCAGCTGTTCTTGGACATTTGTTGAGAGGGTGATGGACGGCAATATATCCACAGCATTTTTTCTGTCAAGGAAAGTTTTATTCCTGCTTTTCACCATGAATTCCTTGTAAACAAGCTGTAGCACTTTTGCTAACTGATAATAATAGGCATAAACCACCACAGTGCAAAACATATACTTAATTTTAAGGAAAAGCCAACCTTGGTCCAGCCACAAACAAACACCAGTACAAAATAAAGGAATTAAATGCTATGGCCCTACATAGCCCACACATTAAGTGAGAACCTCTTTCTCTATCATGATTTCTATGCTCAATTGTGAATGCCTCTTACGCATACTATATGCATATTATGGGGTGTGAGGCATAAAAGTAGAACCTCAGTCCCTTCTGAGGTTCACCCAAGCTTGAGTTCAAGCATTTTCCTGTGGAAAAGGAAGCTCTAATATGGGAAATAAGGGTTCATTTCAGATATATTGTTAATATTTTGCTTGTTATTCCCTCCAAGCTACTGAAGCTGATAAATCCACGTACAAAAGAAATTCAATTTTACTTGATGTATTTTTCCCCATTAAGTTTTTCAAGTAGGAAGTTTTCCTGTTAGTACAGGGAAATTATCTTGAAAAATAAAGTCCTTAATCTACAGATGGAGGAAAGAATGGACACTGAACTATTTGAACAAGCATGAGTAATAAAGATAAAAAAAGTCTTCCTGCTAACGCCTCTCTCTTAAGCCCATTTGTACTTTTCTCCGAGGAAAATTATAAATACTTTGATTACCTTTTTAAAGCTCTTTCCTCCCCTTAAACCGAAACTTAAATATTTATAGTTTAATTAAAATAAAAATTCCTGCAGACTCGGAAAATAATTATTAGGAGCATTGCTGAACACAGAATGTGTATAGCAATTCTTGGAAGGCACTCTTGATGTTACATCACTGCCATCTACAGTTCAGAGCTGTTTTATCCATGAGCCACTGCAATGATGACAGGGTTTTTAATTTATAGATATTCCTTTAGTTTTAAGAAACTGCTAGTTTGAGGGATTGCCCTAAGGTCACATGATCCAAACACTTCCAAAGGAATATAAATTGCTGCACATGCTTTGTCGCAGAAGCTCCAAAGAATAAAGTAGTTTCAAGCCGTTCCTCATGCCTCTCGTTTGCCTGTGGACCCAGAAGTGCAGAGTGAGGAATCAGCTGAATTATATTGGAAGTAGTTTTCTGGATGCACAGTGGAGTCAGTGAAAGCAGTTCTGAATTCTGATAAACATGGGTATGTTGAATAACCATAGGAAGAGAAACCTGGTAAGATCAAATTATCGATTTATTTTATTTTATTTTTACATGATGCGGGAGAGGCCATTTATAATAACCGGGGATGCTGAAGGTGAGAAAACTAAAATGTGGCATTTGTTCCTTATTGTACCCAAGAATGTGACATCCATCCTAGGTCTAGCAGCCTGTGAAATATTGCTGTGTATGAGTACTGGCCACTTACCAAGGAATACCAGGATTTGTTTGTAGGGCTAGTCTGACAGACAGATAATACTGGCTTTAAGCTCTATGAATCTCTTGGAATTGCTCTCCTGTTTTCTGGCTTAAATGCTGGAAGGTCACAGGCTGTCTCATCAAAGTAATGTTTTGTTTCAGGAAAAAGATTCACAAAGTAAAGAAAACTCTCTGCCAGCTTCTTCGGGATCAGTCATGTTAACTGAACTTCACACCTCACGGTGCCCATCTCTGTCGCTTTGGATTCAGGGATCTGAACCTGATTCCATTTTGATCAGCTGATGACAATGGAAGCCGTTAGAATGACACTCACTTGGTTAATAGAAGCCATCAGAATAGCTCTCACCTATCTCTTTAGGTCCTCTGAGCAACTCTGATGGGAAACCATGTTAGTTTATTTGCCCATAACTGATTATTTACTACAGTTTAACGACAACAGTAATATCAAGATGATGAAGAGAATCCAAAAACTGAAACAAAATAAAAATAAAAATCATTTGACAAGGCAGCCTGTGATGTTCCAGAATTTAAATCAGGGGACAGGGTATGCCTGAGGAATTGTTCTTATACAGTGGTATCTTGGTTCCTGAATGGCTTAGCTGTTGAACAAATTGGCTCCCGAATGCCACAAACCCAAAAGTGAGTGTTCTGGTTTGCAAATGTTTTTTGGAAGCTGAAAGTCCGACATGGCTTCCGATTGGCTGCAGGAAGCTCCTGTAGCCAATTGGAAGCTGTGCCTTGGTTTTCGAATGGTTTTGGGAGTCAAACAGACTCCTGGAACGGATTAAGTTCGAGAACCAAGGTACCACTGTACTTGAGACCAGAATGGGACAGTTGTAGAACAGCCATATCCAGAGTCTTATGGAATACAGACAGGCAGGCAGTGCTGGATTAAACCCCGTGGAGGCCCCATGGCAGTCGAAATCTTGCTCTCCACCCCCCCGCCGCCCTTGTGCATATGCTCTATTGGAATAACATTCAACTAAGAAAACTTGATTGTAATTTTCTTTCAAGATCAAATCAGTATTATTTTGATCCGTTGACCCCTAAAAGGCATGAGGCCCAGAGGCCAATCTGGTAATCTGGCACCGCAGCCAGGGTCAATTTATTGTCCCATAACCATTGTAACATATAAGCCATTCCAGGATATCCCTCAGATGTATCCGAAAGTACTGATTCCAGCTTCTATCAGATGATGCTATCAAGAAGAATTTGACAGCAGGGCCCATAGTGACCCATGATGAACACTGAAGCATTCTACTAGGAAGATAAAAATTCTAGAACTTGTAAATAAGTATGAATTAGCAAAGTGTAATTAACTGGCAAAGATAACTCATTTTCTGTGGATAGTGCATTTTAATCAGTAATTTCAATCCATATGTTTCAAAATTGTCATTTATTTATTTATTTATTTATTTATTGTTATTGTCTAATAATTAAGGGGAAGATGTGATAACAGAGCCTATAAATGAGAGAAGTCTTTTAGTATTAAGAAGCTGGTAATTTGGTGACTTGTCCTAAGGTCACATGATCCAGGCTGTTCCAAAGGCCTAGAAGTTGCTGCACAAGTTTGTTGCAGATTTGTCTTAGAGACTCTGATAAAGTTGTTTTCAAGCCATTCCTTATTCCTCTGGCTTGTCTGTGGACCCAGAATCATTACCGCCACTGTGAGCTTGCCTCGCTTTTCAAGCTTAAATGTCACACATGCCAGTCACTGCTAATTTCAATGGAAAACAAAGTTTTCTCTGGGGGTTTCAGGGTCAAGGGCTAAACAATGTGTTTACAAGGTATTTTGGAAGACTGTGTTTCATGAAATATAGCTTTGTAGAGATCAGGAATGGCTTGTAGACTGGGAAGGTGCTGCATAGACGCAGGAACCCTTCTCTGTGCAAATGATACCCTCTGTACTGTAAATGAAATGTCTGTACTGGAGATAACAATGGTTAGAGTCAACTATGATTAGGGCAAAAACGTTATTTGAAACGGGTTTGCAAACCACAGTTTTGGGCAAACCTGCTAAGTTGTAACCATAGCTGGCCTCCAACATAGATCTACTATGTCCCCAATGTGGGGATTCGGGGCGCAGCCCTTCAATGGCTGCGCTCGTTCCTCTCTGGTCAGGGATAGAGGGTGGCACGGGGGGGGGGTTGTCATCATGCTACTCCTTGGTGTGTGGAGTACCGCAGGGCGCAATTCTCTCCCTGATGCTTTTTAACATCTATATGTGCCCCCTCGCCCAGCTCGTCCGAAATTTTGGTTTGGGCTGTCATCAGTATGCTGATGACACCCAGCTTTATCTGTTGATGGACGGCCACCCTGACTCGGCCTCAGACACACTGTTCAGATGTTTGGAAGCTGTGGCTGGATGGCTACGTGGGAGCTGACGGAAGTTAAATCCTTCAAAGATAGAGGTCCTTTGGCTGGGTCGAGACGATATGGGGTTGGGGGGCCAACTCCCATCCCTTGTGGGGGCGCAACTAGTGCCAGTGCCTTCTGGGTGTAATCTTTGACGCCTCCCTTTCTATGGAGGCACAGGTTAAAGCTATAAAAAGGCGGCATTTTTTCATCTCCGCCAAGCTAAGCAGTTGGTCCCTTACCTCTCTCGCCCTGACCTCGCCACTGTGATCCTGCAACTATAAGGATCCAGAATCATCTAAAGTGTAAGTAATACCGTTTCTATGAAGACAAGTTCTGATCAGAAGTTATTATGGATGTAGTATTATGAATGAAGGGAGGGGCTTGCCAAGGAATGAGTTAATTTTCAATAAATGATAACTCTCCAAAAGGGTTATTTTTCCAGGCTGCAGCTGCAGAGTACTTGTGACTGTCTCATTGATTGATTATTTATGTTGCTGTGCAGACTGGCAAGAAGTGCTGGCCTATATCAGATGCTCCAATTACAGCTTTCTGTGGTGGAGAAGTGTGAATAATTATGGAGAAGGATTGTTGGAGACAGAACTGGAAAGACTTGTGAAGAACAAACAGAAGGCTAAAGTTGCAGGACTTTGGAAACTTTGGACTTGCTGAGAACTTCAAGCAAGGACTTTGAAAGCCCTCTCTGGGCTCAGAGAGAGAAGCCTTCTCAAAACAACTGTGTATAGTGTATTTTGCGTTTACTAAATAAAACAACCTCTGCTACACTTTGTCTACTGTGGGAAGTTTAATCACTTTGCTGAACTTCTGACTGTACAGTCATCTAACAGGTTATTGGCACAAACATTCAATAGGTTTAGTGGATGTGACCAGTGGTGTAGAGGAATAAAAACAGTGAAATGGAGCTTTGAAACTTCTTTCAGATGAGGAACAATGACATTATTTGTCACAGCAACAAGTTAACTGACAAATTCTCCTTGCTCTGGGAAATGAATGAGTTTGTGACATATCAGCAAAAGGATATCAGAGACTGAGATGAGACTTAGCTCATTTGGATGCCTATCCAAATTTCTAGGAAAACAAAATCCAACAAATTAATCAGAAGTAAGCAAGTAGTCAGGATGTGGGGCAGGTGTGGGTGTGTCAACATTTCTTCTAAGAGCAGTTTTTCAAAGCACTCAAGTGTTGTTGTTTTTTTGGGGTAAATCCACACTGTACACTATGAAGTGCATTTTCCTTATGTAGCTTTGCTTCTCCAAAGGATCACAGACAGAGCAAGAACTTTTGGATGCTAATCATAGCACAGGGATGAGGTTCTAAATCCAGGGCAGGGAACCTCCAGCCCAGGGGCCAGATTCAATCCTCTAGGCCTTCAGACTGGCCCTTCAGACCCTCCCCAATTTACACCCCCTCCTCCCCCACAGGCCTTTGCAACTTCTTCGAGTCTTTTTGCCTAGCTGGAATGTGTTCATAAACTCTAATATATACTTCTTGCTTACCTAGATGGATGATAGAGAGGGGGATCAGTATAGAAAACAACCTGCTGCACAAAATATGTACATCCATTGCTCTGCCTACTTTTGCCTCTGTCCCCACCCACAACTGGCATGTGACCTCTAGAGATTTGCCCAAAAGGGAATGCAGCCTTTGCTAACCATCCATTTTTTAAATTATCTGATAACTTTATGCCTTCACTTGAGAGATTTACGGTATTTTTTTTAACAGACAGTGTGTGATTCCTTGCTCATCCAGCTGATTTACACTGTTAGAAGACCAATGAAGCAATCCTATCATTTGGGTCCCCTGAAACTTCTCATGGGCTTAAACCAGAGTCCACATGGTCAGACTTTGCTCCCTTGATAACTGATGAGCATTCTCCAACCCCACCCTGTCTCTTTCACTTGACATAAGAATGAACATCTAATTCGCACACATGCAAGGTGGTAAGGTCTGTACAGAGTGGTTTTCTCACCTCACTCGGAGAGGCCTTGATGTGAAGGTGCACTCCACATTTTCTCTGATAATGTAACTGGAGTTCACAAAGAGACACGTTGGCTCTGCCTTTATCAGCTAACAAGGAGGTGGCTAATTCACTTTGTCACCTCAGAAACAAAGTCTATGAATTCTGCAGGGGTCATGTTTATTATCCCTGGGCATGATGGATGTCAGCTATGGTAAATTAAACTCCCGCCCCCCTCAAAAAAAAGAGCCTATTCCAGAAAGACAATGACACTGTATAAAGAAATTCATACGTGCTGAAACTAAAGAAATTCCTATCTAAAAGGTTATAGCAAGAGCATATTTGTTCAAACAAATAAACACCCTATGACCTGAAAAGAGCTTTCTCTCCCTCTATTCTTCCGCCTCCTCTCTCTCCGTCTCTTTCTACATTATATATAATTTTATTTTCAGAACTCAATGCCATCGAAGAAAAGGCAAGCAGCATGATTAGATGAACAAATGCAGCGCAACCAGCAGGGAGCCATTTGTTATTGTATTAATCGATTCAGCTTCAGCGGAATGTTCTCTTTGGAATACCTTCAGAGAAACAAACAGGCCCTGCAAACGCAGGGATTTAACTACACAGCAATCCGCTGATTGTCTCTTAGATATTCATAAGTTACAGAGTTCCTTCCACCTTTAGATTTCATTTCAGTTGTAATAAGAAGGCATAAATAATTGAGAGACATGCCATAAATTATTCAGCTAAGTGCGCCGTTTCCAAGGAATCCTAGCATGAGTCGGGATTAATGGGATAATGCAAGTCAGGGGCAGAAGTGGTGGTGACACCCCACCATTACCACATGCAGGAACGGTGCTGGGTGCTTGGCGCTTCTCAGCATGCGACTTCCACCGAGGGGACATATTAACACCTCTTGCATATTTATGGCTTCCAAGTCCCAACTGCCCGCTGTGTACTTCTGCTGCTTGGTCGTGCATGCCTTTAGAACAGCCTCCTTTTTATGAAACGGATGGGGACTTTCGTTACCCCGAGAAGACTACAACGTCTTCCAGTGGCCACACTTCAATAAGACTTGGGTACTTAGGCATTAGAAGTTTTTTAAAAAGAAAAGGAGATATATATTAATTGGGGAAGTGGCCTTTAAAAGGGAGTTGAAGGAAAGGAAACTCCCAGGAGTTACAGGCAATTGTGATGAGAGACATTTGTATGGAAAGCCAGTGTCTGGTTTAATAAGGTAACAATGGCCTGTCAGCACGTTTAACGGAGAGGGTTTTTCTTTGCTTGCTCTACGCAAAGTGGTAACGTACCATAGGGAGAGGAGGGAGTCCCAGCAAGTCATCTGAAAAGGCTATACTGGCATTTAATGTGAGTTAAATGTGAGTTAAATTTAACGTGAGTTAAAGGGTAATTAATCATTTATTTTTCCAAACAAGTGGTCTACCCAGGAGGAACAGAATTGGCTGTTTCTGATTGCAAACTTCCTTTCCCTCTCCTCGCAGTCCCCTCTATTTTTTCTTTCTTTCCCAATACTGTTATGTTGACTTAAAAGTAAAGGTAAAGGTACCCCTGACTGTTGGGTCCAGTCACAAACGACTCTGGGATTGTGCGCTCATCTCACTCTATAGGCTGAGGGAGCTGGCATTTGTCCACAGACAGCTTCCAGGTCATGTGGCCAGCATGACTAAGCCGCTTCTGGCAAACCAGAGCAGTGCACGGAAATGCTGTTTACCTTCCCACCAGAGCAGTACCTATTTATCTACTAGCACTTTGATGAGCTTTCGAACTGCTAGGGGGGCAGGAGCTAGGACCGAACAACTGAAGCTCACCCCGTCGTGGGGATTCGAACTGCTGACCTTCCGATCGGCAAGCCCTAGGCTCTGTGGTTTAGACCACAGCGCCACCCTTATGTTGACTTAGTTGAGTATGTTTGTGACATGCAATTACAATATGGGGCGCACTGAAAAATAATTAGAAAGGGAGGATGCAAACTACGGGATCATAACATATTACAAGGAGCACTATTTTTTGTCTTGTATTGGTGCTATATGCCTTGATCCTCTCTAATGAATAAGTTGTTTTCATTCCTACCCAGGAGCTATAAGACTTTAAGAATAAGTTACAAGGTTTTCTCTTGTAAACAGTACACAAACTTCCTGCATTATCTAATTTGTGTGGTGATGGTGACTGAGTGACTTCAAAATATTTTGTTCAGTTGCAATGAAACCCTACAAATAAGGGGGAGGTTAGCAACCCCCCCCCAAAAAAAACTATGAATGTAGCAAAGACAAAACACATAGTTACACTGCAAACATACAACAGTTTTGCAACAGTTTAACGGTTATGTTTCCACCACAAAAAATGTGGGAATTGTAGTTTGCAGAGGGAGCTGTTTGGTATCCCAATACCCCTCAAAGAATCACAGTTCGATAGGGAGATTGTGTTTTGTTCTAGGTGTAGCTATGTCCTGACTTCTTACCTACATCCCATCTCCTCCAAGAAGCTCAGGGTGGCATGTATTGATCTCCTCCACATTTTAGCCTCACAACAAGAGCTGCTCCCCTAGGTTCCTGTATTCATGGCTCTCCCTGTGTATGGTTTAATGTCTATGGCTGCACCCACCAAGCATTCTGCATGTGGCATAGAATTCAGGTCCTCAGCATCTCTGCTTTAAATGTTTTAAACAACAAAAATGTAAGTTGCTAGATCTTCTAGTTTGAAAACACAGCAGTCTGGGGAAACAAAAGGTTTGAGAGCAGGGCTTCAAGTAGGCAGGTTTGTAAAGCAGCACTGCTCTGCCAGTAGTTCTTAATTTATCCTGCCTGGCTAGGAAAAGCCAAATAAATTATGCAAAACAGCAAAATGCATACCTATTTAAATAATTTTCTGTAACACTACATGTTACCACCCAAAAACAGTTCTAGACATCTTGTTAATTTTATCCGATTTCTTACCACAGAAGCAAAACCCACCAAATTCACAATTCTGCTTCAAAACATTGTTTTATATATCATTCTTATAGGGAGATAATGTATTGGAGAGTCTAATGGTTCATAGATGTGTATGGAGTGAAGTTGTACAAATTCAGCATTCATAGAGAACAGAACTTTCTGTTGATCTAGGAACTGAGTGACATGTTAGCACAGGGACAACAACATGAGCCAAGATTAAAATGAAATGTAAGAAAAGCATGGGCCTGGAGCCATACACAGTGTTTGCAAAGTGCCAATGTGATTTGCTCCACAAATCTCAAAAATAAAGCGCCAGAGAGGCTAGAAATCAATATTTAACTAACAGTTTTAAAACAGGTTTTGAGTGTTAGGTACCGCATGAACAGCCTATAACGGTTGGGCAGCAGATTTCAGGTCTTCCTAATGAACTTCGGGCAGGGACTCCTGGCCAATGGCCCAGAATCATTAAATGGGAAGAAGAAACAATCATGTGAATGTACTGCATCCCACAGAGCGGCTCATTGCCCCCTTCCCACACAATATTCATTGGCTGTTTCTCTGGAAGTCCATACAGGGTCAGAACACGGGACAGTGAAGTGGTTAGAGTGTTGAACTCGGACCTGAGAGTCCAGGGTTTATATCCCCACTCGGCCATGAAGCTCACTGGGCCAGTCACTGCCTCCGAGCCAATTGTGGGGATTAAAGATGGAGGGAGCTATGTACACCGCCTTGAGCTCCCTGAAGGAAAAGGTGGGATAGAAACGCAACGAATAAGTCTTTTAGTGGTTCTGTCTGATTTGACCATCAGCCAGTGAGTAGCACTGTGTGCTGCCCAGTAGCAAAAGTGGGTGCTACCTCAGCAACAGGAGGCAATGTAGCAGAGCAAACACAGAAAGGGAACAAAAAAGCAGGATCGCCAGCAGAGCTGTCAACAAAAAGGAATAGAGACTGCATAGCCAAACCGCTATCCAACTTCTTACCCTCCAGTTACCAGTAATTCTCAAACTGGTCTGTGCCAGATATCTATAGTTATCTTGGAAAGAGCATTAAATCAGTGCAGCTCTAATAAATTATCTCTAAAGCATTGGAAAACCACAAACAGGCCTCAAGTTCGTTTGGGATTTTGCAAATTCCAGCTTTATTTTGAGATCTGCTGCATGATGCTAAATGTAACCATTCAGGGAAGCTGAATAAACTTCATTATGACAAGGGGGAAATGTTTGTGGCACTCGCCAAGATGTACAGACAGACATATTATCCCATGTATGCCTTTTGTATACATGAGCTTATTCTGCTGGTAAAATGCAAGTTCTCAACAGATTCAACTTTGCTGTCTACTCAGAAGTAAGCTCCATTGGTTTCAACAGTGCTTACTCCTGGATAAGTGGGTGCAGGACTACAGCCTAAGGTACTTCATAAATTTTAACTAGTTGCTGGTGGGGTGCACATGTTGTAATGACTAAACAATATGAATTCAAATAAAAAAAGTTGGGGTAATGAGGCACCTACCCTAGAAGCAACCTGGACATGACAAAATAGGTATTGAAAAGTCACAGCTATTGTAGTAACAGTAAATTGTGTTCTTTTCAAAACTGAGTAACAAAGCATGTGTTCAAGACATTAGCAAAAAGGCAGTTCTTGGCTTGCTGAGAGGTTTAATAAGACTAGTAGGAAAGGCAGCATAACACCCTGGAAGCTCATTATTGACCTCTGCACTTGCATCACAGCAGAGGAAGGCTTTTGCAGCAGAAATACTGCTGGAAACAGAACTGTGCAAAAATAATTCTGAGCCAGAATAGTTTTGCTCAGTGGTGAGAATTTGACATTTAAGCAGCAGAATGCTTAAAGATCCACAATTCTTAGCTCATTCCTCGAAACTAATTTTGGTAGACAAAAGTTCTCTCCTTTAAAAATAGATAATTAAAAATCGATGCAGAAATATTCAAACGCATGTCACATCCATGCAGAAAATTGTGATACCTTCTGCTGTATTTATAAATAAACTTCTCTTTTCCAAAACGTGCAGCTGAGGTTAACTTTCAGTTTTGGTGAAAGCAACTGTAAATCCTCAGGGAGAAGCGAGTGCTTTATAGTGGCATGAGTTATACACTGGCTCCCCCAACTGGTACATGACTAAATTGCAAAGTTCTATATGTGAAAAGGTAACCAAAAGTACTTTGCTCAAGGACATGAAGAATTATTGTCATAGATTAAGGGATTTAAATCTACATGAAAAGAAGAGTAATGGGGGCATACTCAGCTTCACCTTTTCTGAATAATATATTATCTCTGAAATTAACGAATTCATCTGACTCTAATTGTGCAGCATATGGCTGCTACTGCCAGTAAAACGAGCCAAAAGAAAAGAAAAAGCTTTGCTAGGTCAGACCAACAGGATGCTGGATTAAACATACTGCACTAGGAGCATCTTGTCTAGCATCCTGTTTCTCAAATGGCCAATCAGATGTACCTTGGGTCTCACAAGGAGCACATGAGGACAAAACTGGCCATTCTTTCTACATGCTGCTCCTGATACTGACTGTAGGACCAACATTGATAGCAACTGATAACTTCTCTTCCATGAATATGCCTAATCTCATTTTAAAACCATCTAAAATGGTGACCATCACTAAAAGTTGCAGTAGTGAAATTCCATAGCTTAACTCCGTACTGTATGTAGAACTTCATTTTGTCGAATTCCTGCATCTCTTGCCATTCTGTTTCATTGGTTAACCCCGAGTTTTAAGTATTTAGTATTATGAGAAGGAAAAAAAACTCTCTATCTCCCTTTTCCATACCATGCATGGTTTTATACAACACTATCATGCCCTGCCCCCTTTCTCACATTTTGTCTAAACTAAAAAACCACAACTGTCTGGTCTTTCTTTATAGGTGAAGCCCCCTCATAATTTTGTTTGCCCTCTCCTGCACCTCCTTTGATGCTACCTTTTTGAGATGTACCAACCAGAAAGATGCACAGTATTCCAAGTGTGGTCACACCGCAGTTTCATATGAACCCATTTTAATATTGACAGCCTTCTTTTCAATCCCCTTTCCTAATGATCCATACATTAAAACTTGCTCTATTTACAGCTGTTGCACACAGGGTCATTTTCACCAAACTATCCACTGTGACCCCTTTTAAAGTCAGTCACCACCAGCTCAGAACCCATTGATTGTACCAAGCTAAGGTCTCAGGAGTTTTCTCCTTTCCCTCACAGGCTGCAGTAGCTGTTGCCTGTCAATTAGAGAACTGCTTTACAGTAGCAGCTAGGAGTTGACTAGCAGATACACAAACCTGAATTTGCAAAATACATATGAATTAGCTTTGGGACAATCAGCTTGGTTCAGTTCTGAAAACTACAAAAAACAGAAGTAATGAAAAAGAACTGAGAAAAGTAGGAGAAAGTAGGGGAAGAAACTAAAACAAACTGAAGGGCCGATGCTTTAAATCAATTTTAGATCTCCATCCGCTTAACATTAGGGGAAACAGGCTGAACACTCCATGCAGACAAACATTAATCCATTGTGTTTCATCATTTATCTTTGAAGACAATAATTAAAGATGTAAACAAATCAGATATATGTAAGAGGATTTAAAAAAAACTACACACAAGTTATTTCACCGTATGTAACACTTACAATTGTTCTTCTTCTTCTTTTGCTTTTTTGTCAGAAACCAAGTAGACAGTTCCAAAGCTTCCACGCCCAAGTTTCTGTTGAATAGTGTATCTTCCTGCAATCAAGGTCTTTGAGCAAGTAGAAATGGGCATAAGAGTACCATGCTTAGCAACTTCTTGGAATCTCAACATTGCTCCATACAGCAGTGCTAGGCCAGTATTTATGAGTCTGCAGAATTAAACGGCCCTCTGTCACTGAAGCAATATTCACAAGTGACACCTGCAAGGTGGGGGAAACCTAAGATGTAGATTATAATTCGTTTAAGTACTTTTCTGTCAATGTATGAGGAGAGTTTCTTTAAGCTGGTACTGTATCAATGGTACCTCATAAATTCATTTCTACATCAGAATATTTCAGAGACTTAAGACTAGCTCCTCTCCATTATATTATCTCAGCAGTAGACCTAAGAGGGACAATTCTCTCTTAGGTGCTATGCCTCACAATCTTCGCTGCTGCCACAAAAGCAAAACATATCAATGATGGGTTGGGACATAATGAAATGGCAGTGATGCCAGCTGGGATGCCTATGAGTTCCACAAGCACCGTGTCCTGCCTACAGGCTGATATTTCTGCACTGCAGGGGTTGGACTAGATGACCCTTGGAGTCCCATCCAACTGTACGATTCTAGGATTCTACATTGCCCCAAAAGCAATCCTCTCAGTGGGTACAGAGAATCACAGGTCCCTCCTGAAATCAGAGCAGAGAATTTAATCACATAGTAGATGCAAGCAAGTGTTGTGAGTGTTCCAAAAGAAAATTTCAGCAGTGATACAGCTAGCTCACTTTCACCTGCATTAATTGTGATCTAATCCTTTAAACTTGGACCACAAAGGGAAGATGGGAAAAGTGATGATCCCTGTGGTTATTAAACAATGCATGGTAATATTTTTAAAAAAGGAATAACTGCATTTTGCATTTCAAATTTATTCTTGCAGTTGGCTGGATAGTATTTTGCAGCTCTTACTGAATTGCCAATCCACTCTACTGAAATTATTCCTCAATGTTTGTAGCAAGTATGAAATCCAGTACGCCAAGCGGTCTTGTGTCTAGCCCGCTTATGTATAAACTCTTCCACTTAATCTTATTTCCATTTCATTCATCTTCCACTGTTTCATTTCCTTGCCCTTCTTCTACTACTCACATTTCAGTAATTTTTAAGGTGCTGCAGTATGTACAGATTACCATTTCCTGCTTGCCAAGCCTCTCTTGTGTTTTTGTTTTTTTTAAACCACCCATCGCTATGACCCAGTTGCTATCCTACTCACCAATATCTCACTCTATTTTATTTTAGTTCCTTGTCTATTGAGACGCACATCGATGACACAAGTGGAAAAACCCAAGTGCTAGTAAATATATTTACGTCTACCAGCTCTTTGATCTATATAGATCTGTGTTAGTAACATCTATGTAGGACAGACTGGTTTTCCCTCTGACTGCCATCGTCTGCTCACCTAAGCCTGCATAAATCCCACTGTTAACAGATTTGTTTTTAATTTTCTTTCATCTTGAGTTGGATTGTACATTTAACAAATACAGTGGTACCTCAAGTTACATACGCTTCAGGTTACAGACTCCGCTAACCCAGAAATAGTGCTTCAGGTTAAGAACTTTGCTTCAGGATGAGAACAGAAATCGTGCTCCGGCGGTGGCGCAGCAGCAGGAGGCCCCATTAGCTAAAGTGGTGCTTCAGGTTAGGAACAGTTTCAGGTTAAGTACGGACCTCCAGAACGAATTAAGTACTTAACCCGAGGTACCACTGTACTGTAAATATTTTCATGACAGAAATTCTACATATAAAGTCTCCTCAGCATAATGTGTATAGGATTGCATTCCCACTTTTGTTTATCATCACTCTGAGGGCTGATATCCACCAGAAGATCCTAGCCATTTTGGTGGAGCTGTGTTATTGCTTTTCAACTATGCAGAAATGATTTGTTAAATTGCATTGTTTGTTAAACAAGCAAGTTTCATTTTATAGTGTCAGAATGTTCACAAGCTTCAATGAGGTATATGAATCTGTAATTTGTAACAATAACATCATGTGTGTGAAACTGTTCTGACACCCAGCTGCTGAGATACTGACACATCCTGTGCCAAGGACTTGTACTTGGCAGTGTGATTTCCTAATGAAATACAGCCAAACTTCTAATTACTGAAAGTGATGTTCACAATAGAACAAATAAATGGTGATCTTGGCTTCAAAAAGAAAACACTCAAATGAGACAGAATATGAGCATCTTTCTAATTCCAAGCCCTCTTTCAAGAAAAGAGGATAACAACAATGGTAAAACGTAAGTATTATGCTGAGACTGCCAGCTACGAAATCTCCTGCTTCTGCAATTCTCCATTTGCCTCAATAAGCCAAAGAAGCCATAATAAAGTCTACAAAGCACTGATGGAGTTTTTAACTCCCCCATTTTACACACTTTTAAATGTAAAGACATAAAGTTTTATGTTAACTATGGCTGCAACCTTATACACAATTTGGAGTAAGTTTCATTAAATTTGGTTGGGGTTACTTCTGAGCAGACATGTATAGCATTTGTAATTCTACCAAACTATGCTGCATGATTGTTGTAATGAAGCAGCAGGAGCTCCTTTCTATATATCACTGGTCTTCAACTAGTGGGTCAGGACCCTCTGGTCCTGATTCAAGATGGGTCACAACAGGAGCACTGCCACCATACAAATACCGTATTTTTCGCCCCATAGGGCGCACCGGCCCATAGGGCGCACCTAGGTTTTTTTTGGGGGGGGGGAATAAAGAAAAAAAAATTGTCTAAAAAAAAAGCTCAACCACTTTCAGGGTTCAGCAACTTTTGGGGTGTCCTGGTTTTTACTTTTTGAAATATGGCAACATCTCTTTTTCTGGGGGGGAAATAACACTGATTATCAGCAATATAGTGCTTACAATCTTTAGGTGACTGTAAATATATATACAGTATTTTTCCATCTATAAGACACCCCCTATTTTGGGGGCGACAACCAATCGCCAGTCCCCCCTCCATGTATAAGACGCCCCCTAATTTTTGACATTATTTTTTAGGGGGGAAACCAGTCTTATACATGGAAAAATACGGTGTGTGTGTGTGTGTGTGTGTATATAAAAAACAGAAAAGGCCCTGCCTCGGGGTATACAACTTGAAATTGAAGGCAAGACTCATGAGAGAGGATATTGATCTCATTTACATCCTATGACCTATACCCTTTTAAAATGTTCTAGTTACAGGTAGGTAGCCCTGTTGGTATCTGAAGAAGTGTGCATGCACACGAAAGCTCATACCAAGAACAAACTTAGTTGGTCTCTAAGGTGCTACTGGAAGGAAATTTTCCCCCTTTTAAAATGTGTGAGGGTTTTTGTGGGGGGCGGGGAGCTTATTGTGTTGTTGTTTTGCTTTTCATCATGTATTTCGTGGTTTTATATCTTGGTTTTATTCTCTGAACCGCCCTGAGACACACACCCCCCCACACCGGTATAGGGCGGCATATAAATTCGATAAATAAATAAAATATAATAATAAGGAACAAAAGGAGTGGCGCCGAGCCTGTCGGAACTGAAACGCAAAACACCTGAGGCAACCTTCCGAGCGGCCAGAGGAGTTACGGTCTAATTCCTAAAAAAAACCCCGCCGGAATCACCTGAGGCGGCGAGCGGGGCCTCGGCGGGAACTCAACCGAGGGACAAGCCTCGACTTTTCCCTCACACAATCATGTAGGGCCGTCGGCGCCTCGGCCAGCGGCACCTCTGGGCGTCGAGGCGGCGGAGCGCCTCGGCCAGGCCTACCTGAACGGGCCCCCTCCATCTTGAGAGAAGCTCCTTGAGAGGGGCTCCTTTCTCCACCCCCCCCAAAAAAATTAATATATTAATTATATATACTTTAAATCGAGTGACGTCCGGAACATGAGGCGGAATGAGGGGCTGGGGAAGCGCCGTTCGTTTACCTTGTCCATTCACTCAGCGGAAGAGGCGAGCCCAATATTATTTGCGGGGGTGGTGGTGGGGAAAGGGGAGACCCCCCCCCTCTAAAAGTCGCTGTGGGTGCGCGCCTCCCACTCCACCCCTCCGCACACCTGGCTCCTTGGTACAGTCGGATTCCCAAACCTCCCGCCGCGCGAGTGTTTGGCTCGCGTCGCTAGGAGACGGCGCAGCGCGTGACGAAGGCGCGCTGCTTTCCCTGGGCGGGGAAACGGGGCTGCTTTGCCCCGCCCTCTTTCCCCCCTGGCTCGGACGCTTCCACAGGCCTCATATCTTGGGGGTGGGGGAGAGACTTTGTTGGGAGCGCCCCCGCAACGCAGGTAAGGTCGAGCTGTCCGCCTCCGTCGCGAACGATAGAACTGCTGGCATGTTTGCTAAAGCTAAGCAGGGTCCGGTGTGGTTTCAAATTGGATGGGAGACCGCTTCCTGCTTTGCAAGGGGCTGCGCGAGAAAGAGCCCTCGGGATCCCTTCCAACTCTGTTTTTATGGAAGTGGGTAAGAAGAGAAGTCGCTGCTGCTGCTACTGCTGGAACTGGGTTCCCCCACCCGCTTTCAAAGCTGCCCAGCAGACGGAAATTCAACAGATGCAGCTCTCTGCAATTTCAGATAAGCCAGTTTCTGCCTGTCCATGTATTTAAACACACAGCAACATGGACGTAGCCAAGGGGGGAGAAGGAAGGGGTAGCTGCCCCACAAATCAATAAAATTCAATACAAATACATGGCAAACTGAGGTTCTGCCCCCCCCCCAACAAAAATCCTGGCTATGCCCATGCACAGGAAGGCTGGTGGTTCGACCCCACCCAGGGACAGCTGTGGGCAAGATGCCGGCATTGCAGGGGTTGGACTAGATGATTTCAGGATCACCGTCCAACTTTATGAGTCCCTGAACCCTGTGAGCAGTGGAACTCCTGCAACATTGACTCCAACCAAAAGGAGGAACTTGAATTCTTAAAGGCTTGAGACTTCCTCAAAATTGCACACAGCTCTTTGGTTGCCACTCCTGCCTCTGACAAATGCTCAAGGAGGCAGGTGTTCAAAAGGAATAGCCTTTCCCCATAACATTCTCATCATCTCACCAGTGACGTTTCCATAAGCTGATCGGCCCACCTAGCCTTTGGGTGGTAGGTAGGGCACTTGTTAAAGAAAAATCCAAAGTCTAGAAAGCCCTCCATTTTCACATACATTATTGTGTCCATACATGGTTTAAGAGACACTATTTGCAATAAGTTCTTAAAACTCTTATGGCATAGTTCAAGCAGTCATAGAATTGTAGAGTTGGAAGGGACCCCATGGTAATCTAGTCCACCCCCCTGCAACGCTGAAATCTCAACACGCGGTCCCCCAATTTGAAACCAAACCTTCTTAGCTTTGCAAATTGTGCTAGCTGATTTATTGCAGACATTCCTTGTCCTCCAAGGGTGACTATAAAGGTAAAGGGACCCCTGACCATTAGGTCCAGTCACGGACGACTCTGGGGTTGCGGTGCTCATCTCGCTTTATTGGCCGAGGGAGCCGGCGTACAGCTTCCGGGTCATGTGGCCAACATGACTAAGCCGCTTCTGGAGAACCAGAGCAGTGCACTGAAATGCCGTTTACCTTCCCACCGGAGTGGTACCTATTTATCTACTTGCACTTTGACATGCTTTCAAACTTCTAGGTTGGCAGGAGCAGGGACTGAGCAATGGGAGCTCACCCCGTCACGGGGATTCGAACCACCAACCTTCTGATCGGCAAGCCCTAGACTCTGTGGTTTAGACCACAGCGTGACTATATACCACTTCACTTTCACATAAACTGTTTGAAATTTGTGAGAAAATCGCTAATCTTCTTTTACCTCCTGTCGATTACATAGCTTGGTAATGAGCTTGATCGTACTTGTATTTCTGTGTGTTTCCGTTCCCCATTAAGCATCATTTCACCATGTACCTAGACTCTGAAAGCTTTTAAAAGTAAAGGACATGCCAATTCTCAATAGAGCAGATTCCAGGATCTATGGGGTTGGGCACCAAATTTTATGGGTCTGTCTCTGGAATCAAAGTTCATTTGGGGACCAGAGCCTTCTAGAGAGAGATGGATATGAAATGAATTGGGGTGAAATATGGAATGGGTTTGTGTTGACACACCTTTCTCGCGAGTCCTCACCTCTGCTCTGTTCCCCCAAAACTTAATAGAGCTAGAGGAGCGACTAGGAGGGGCTTAAACCTTCAGAACTTGATGGTGCCACAAGCACACATCCTAGAATACCAGGTAATGTAGTTGCTGTGCTTTCCTGTATCCCTGGGCACTGCTGTGCAAGCTTGTGGCATCATCCAGATCTCTTCTCTTATTGCCCTGCACTTGCCAGAAACGTCTGCCACCAGTCCCTTCAATAAATTTGGGGGGAAAGTGGTGGTATCTTTGAAGGTCTTGCTGTAGAAGTGGATAGCAGCAAAACCTCTGCACTAACACTGGGAGCAGGATAGAGCCTTGGGTTAAGAATAGGGCTGGGCAATATATCGATACATCTTCCAAAACCGATTTGAAGTCCATATGATATCTGTTTCGTAATCTTTGACCTGGCAATATATTGTGAATCATGATGTGTGTGTGCGCGCGCATGCGCTATGCAAAAATCACAATGTGGGGAAAACCGTGAAGCCAGCCAGTGCCTCTACATAGCTCCATCCTTATTTCAGACATTGTGATACATCAGTATAGCGCGACGTTTAGCTGGTGGATGTATCACGATGCTAAACACCCGATATCGCCCAACCCTAGTTAAGAATGGGTTCAAAAGTAAAATGGATACATTTTGAAAGTTCATCAAATTAATCTACAGGGGTACCTCAGGTTAAGTACTTAATTTGTTCCGGAGGTCTGTTCTTAACCTGAAACTGTTCTTAACCTGAAGCACCACTTTAGCTAATGGGGCCTCCTGCTGCTGCTGCGCCGCCGGAGCCTGATTTCTGTTCTTATCCTGAGCAAAGTTCTTAACCTGAAGCACGATTTCTGGGTTAGCGGAGTCTGTAACCTGAAGCGTATGTAACCTGAAGCATATGTAACCTCAGGTACTACTGTATTTGCACTGGCTCCAAATCAGGTTGAGATGGGTCATTGGTTGCCAATTAATCATCCAGGTGAAAAGGGTGCCAGTTACAATCCCAACAGCAGGTTTTGATTTTTTACTTGTTTCCCCTTGAATTGCACTGCATTGCATCTGCAGGGCTGATTTCTTCTTTTGTTTCAGCAGGGGCGTTTCAGCCTGGCAGCATGGGCATCCACGGATTAATGAGCTACGTAGGGGAACATAGAGAGTTCTTTGTTGACCTGCAGTTGAGGGACACCAGTATAGTAATTGACGGAAATAACCTGTACCATCGCCTTTACTTTGATTCCAACTTGGACATGCGGCGCGGAGGGGATTACGATTCGTTTGCAGATGTCGCCCGCAAGTTTTTTGAAACCCTGACTCTGTGCAACATCCGGCCGTACGTCGTGCTAGATGGAGGGTGCGATGTGTCTGACAAAAAGCTTGCAACCATCAAGGAAAGAGCTCGGGAGAGGATCCTGTCAGCCTATTGTCTCTCCTGTGGCGGTGGCGGCGGCAGTCTACTGCCTTTGCTCATTAGAGAAGTCTTCAAGCAGATCTTGACCAGCTTGCCAGTGCCTTTCGTCCAGTCTTTTTCAGAAGCGGACAGGGACATTGTGTCATTAGCCAATCACTTGAATTGCCCGGTGTTAACTTTAGATAGCGACTTTTGCATTTTTGACCTGAAAGCCGGCTATTGTCCTCTGAATTACTTTCAGTGGAGAAGCCTGCCCTCCTGCAAAGACTCGCAAGACTGCTACATCCCAGCACGGCGCTTCTCGTTAGAGAGGTTTTGTGGCCATTTCAGCAATATGAACAAAACCCTCCTGCCTCTCTTTGCGGTGATGAATGGCAACGACCATATTAACCTGCCGGCTATAGAAATGTTCTTTAGCAAGGTACGCCTTCCCGTCGGAAGCTCCAGGCAGAAATGTCGAAAGCACGTCCGCATTCAAGGGTTGCTGAACTGGCTGTCTCGCTTTTCTGATCCTGCTGAGGCTATAGAAAATGTACTGAAGTATGTTAACAAGCACGAAAAAGAGGAAACAAGGCAGCTTCTCTGTACTTTTATGGAGGAATACGAACCGTCCAGTGTCAGTCTCAAAGATTTTTTCCAGAATGGAGTCTATGAATCGGAGGAAGCCAAGAAATTGGAGTTGCCTCCGTGGATTCTTACTGCGTTAGCAAAAGGCCTTATAGCACCATTCGTCAGTGATGCCCTGATATTAAAAAGAACAATTCTCCACGTTCAGGTAGAGAATATGCAAAGGCCTAGTGCTAATGCCATATCTCTACCAATTCGACAAATCATCTATGGATTACTTCTGGGCGGTTCGCAATGTTCGGTCAGTACCTCCTCGGGAAAAGCACCCACTCGCGTTTTCCATGAATTTGACAGAATACAAAGAGCACTCAAGAAATCGTTCATCCAAGCAGCAGCGTTGTCCGGACATTTTTGTAGCGACCAGTACTCTCTGAATACTTTAAGCGAGGTAAATGGCTCAAAATGGCAGGCATAAAGCAAACATATCAGTAGTGTTTGAATACTGCGGTTCTGTGGGGGGGGGGGGAGGAAATAATGTGATGTTGGGCACAGAATCCAACTTCTTGAGGCTATCAGCTTTCAATTTTTTATTTAAAAAGAAAGCTTTCCAGCCTTTATAGTTGGGTACATGTGAAAATACATGGGCAATGCTTGCTGAATTGTCAAAAGCTCTGCATAAGATTCCTAATGGTTAGCAGGAGCCTAAGCGGTGTTAGAAACTCAGACAGATAAGCAAAGCACCAAATGGCATCTTACACCTCATTTCCAGTCACCATCACAGAATGTCTAGGCACCATTTAAAAAAAAAAAAAAATACTTATTATTATTATTAATTTCATTTCTTTGCCACTTCATATTTTAATGAAAAGATCTCACCGCAGTTGACAACACATTAAAACATCAAATAAAATGATCCAGAATAAAACAAATTCAAGCTTCAAGGAAAATAATTCAGATCCTTCTCTAAGGGACATTTAGCTTTCCCCATATTTATTTACCTAGTTACTGTATTTTTTGCTCCATAGGGCACACCGGACCATAGGGCGCACCTAGTTTTTAGAGGGGGAAATCAAGAAAAAAAAATCTTATTTCCCCCTCAGCCCCAAAGAGCAGTGTACAGGCTGTGTGCAGCCTCTCCCTGCTGGAGGGGTTGTGCGTGGCTATGGCACAAGCCAAGACAGCGAGCGGGATCCATGTCATAGCCGCGTGCAACCCTTCCAGCAGGGAGAGGCTGCGCGGGGCTAAAGAAGCCCGCGTGCCATAGCCACGTGCAGCCTCTCCCTGCCGGGAGAGCAAGACTCTCCTGGCTTCAGCGAAAGGAACCTGAAGCCTCCAGAACGTAGCGGGAACTCGCGCTGCGCTCCAAAGGCTTCAGGCGGCTATCCCTGAAGCCTGGAGAGCGAGCGGGGTCGGTGCGCACTGACACCTCTCGCTCTCCAGGCTTCAGCGAAAGCAACGCAAAGCCTCCGGAGCGCGGAGGGAGCTCCATAGGACGCACACACATTTCCCCTTAATTTTTGGAGGGGAAAAAGTGCGTCCTATAGAGTGAAAAGTATGGTAATTTATAGAGCTGTCCCATAGCAGAATTACTCTAGGAAACCAGTGTGGTGTAGTGTTTAAGAGTGTCGGACTAGGACCTGGGAGATGAGGGTTCAAATCACCACTCAGTTGTGAAGTTCCCTGGGTGACCTCAGGCCAGTCACACCCTCTTAACCTACCTGATAGGGTCGTTGCAGGGATTAACTGAGGAGGGGTGAACCATGTACTCCTTGGAGAAAAAGGTGGGATTTCAATGCAATAAATAAGCTCTTTAGCCTAGCTCAGTGGTTTTCAACCAGTGTGCCGTGGCCCCTGATGGTCAGGGGTGTCGTGGGCAACACTGGCCTCTGCCCCTCTTTCCTTCTCTCCCTTCCTCTTAGGTCCTCTTACATCTCTGCCTCCCAAAGGCTTGCACAGCTGTTTGTTGCAGCAGCCCTGGCTACAAGCTCCCCAGGCGAATGGTGCCTCTGGGGCTGGCCTGGGGTTGCTTCCCAGGCCCCTGTGGGGCAATGTGAGGAGGCATCTCTCTTCAGAGGGCAGCTCAGAGACCAGGGGGCAGCTGCGGCTGCCCAGAGGACTCCCAAGGAGAGGGGAGAGATGAGATGAGTCTGAGGGAACACTCCACAAGGGAGGGTGTTCAAAAAGGGGTGAGGGGCTGCCAGCTCTGCAGGCAAGGGGTGACACAACTGGGCTCCTGACCCCCACAGGGGTGCTGCAGAAAGAATGCGGTTGGTCAAGAGAGCTGTGGGCTCAAAAAGGTTGAAAACCTCTGCCTTAGTTACTTAAGAAAGCTGAAAGGGCCAGCCAGATGGAGATGTCCATTGTCAGCCTGGTATCCAGAGATCTCCCTGTGGTTCCAATTGGACCCACACCAGTTGCAAACTGATTCACATCCAGTTGAAATTTCATGAAGGCTTGGCCATTTCTTTATGTACAGGTTCCCTTAGCAGACCGCCTGATCCTTTTGTTGGAGACATTGGGAGTGACAGCCAGCATCCTGGAGCCAGTTCCTTGTCACCTGCGGCTTCCTCTGGCCGTGACTTGTTACTGGACGCGGTATTCAGAACCCAAAGCGAAGTTACAGCACATGAAGGCCTTACTACTTGGAGTCGTAGCTGGGGAACTTGATAAAGCAATACATAGTCCAGGTAGGTTCAGCTTTGGTTCTCTTTTTCGTCCTGGCATTGCCAATGACTCTTTTCTTAATTTGCACACTGGGGCTTTTACATGAAAGGCCAGAGGATCTTCTTTGCATGCAGGAGAGTCCAGGTTCAATCCCTGACATCTCTACGTTGGGCTGCGAGAGGATGCAATCTGAAACCCTGGAGACAATGCTGAACTAAATGGACCAGTGGTCTAACTCAGTATAAGGTGGTTGTGGCTGGCATCCATCTGTCTCGAGAGACCATGGAGTGCGCCTCCAGGGGTGAAATCAGAACATTGCTTTAGCAGCACCAATTTGACACACACCCCCGGACACAAGCCTGGGCAGCCCAGACCACAAGACTCTCAGCCTCGCTGATCTGGTCCAGGCACCTCCAGGCAGTATAACATGGTTCCTTTCCCCTCCATTTCCTCCTCACAACAACCCTGTGAGGTAGGTTAGACTGCAAGACAGTGTCTGTCCCAAGGTCACCCAGTGGACTTGCTGGCGGAGTGGGGATTTCAATGCTGGTCTCTTTGGTCTGGGTCCAGCCCTTCAACCCCACTTTCTCTTAACATGTTACAGTGGTACCTCGGGTTACAGACGCTTCAGGTTACAGACCCTTCAGGTTACAGACTCTGCTAACCCAGAAATAGTGCTTCAGGTTAAGAACTTTGCTTCAGGATGAGAACAGAAATTGTGCTCCAGCGGCATGGCAGCAGCAGGAGGCCCCATTAGCTAAAGTGGTGCTTCAGGTTAAGAACAGTTTCAGGTTAAGTACGGACCTCCGGAACAAATTAAGTACTTAACCCGAGGTACCACTGTAATAGGCTTAGGTGTTATCAAGTAGGCCGTGACTACTATTTGGCAGAGATGGTTATGTTTCAAATATTTCGAATAGCAATGCATGCATTTGTGCTTAAATGTCTCAAAACATTCTGAATTCTCTCCCCCGCACACTAATTCGTGTCCAGATCCCAAGTGTCCACCAATTGAGATCGATAAAATTGTGTATGAACAGTTCTTGAAATGGAAAAAAGACACATCTCAGAAAGAAGCAATGGAATTAGACGCTGCCCACATTTTCTGCCAGTGGCAGTGCTGCCTTCAGATGGGATTGTATCTCAACCAACTCCTTTGTAGTCCTCTCCTTGAGCCAGATCTTACACGGTAAGAGTTCCCAAGGCTGCAAGTCCTACTGAATCAGCTGCTCTTTTCCCACTTCTTTTTTCCAAGTCAGGAATAGTGGTGGTTTTAGTCCAGCAAAATCCAGAAGACCAGAGGTTAGCCACCCTGATATATAGGAGCAGAAATGCATAAAACAGCCCCATGATTCCACAGTCCTGAGCTACACCAACCAAGCAACTTTGGAGTGAATGTTAAAATTCCCCAGGACTGAGAGATGGGGCTCCAACACCAGACTGAAGGCCATGTTGGTAAGCTTGGCTAAGGAATCTGTTACCCAAATGCCTAAGAGGTACACTAACAGAATTCCTCATCCAGGCTTCATTAACTTGGTGCCCTGTTTTAGACAGCTGTGTTGGCAGGGACTGATGGGGACTGTAGTTCAAAATATCTGGAGGGTACTGGGTTGGGAAAGGCTTCCCCAGCCTCTCCCAAGACCCACACACTAAGGTGGAATCTACACACATGTAAAAAACACTGTGAAAACGCTTTTTAAAAAAATATATTGAATATGCCATAGCACACCATCGCCATCTAGTGTCACTTTTGTATATTTCACTTTACAACACATTTAAAACGTTTTATTTGCAGCTGTGTAGCTGAGTCCCAAGTCTAAGCACTCTCTCAAGGTAGTTTACTGGACATGGCATAAGGTGAGCAAGGTGGTTAATGGTATGCTGCTGACAACACCAAGGTTGCAGGTTTGATTCCTATATGGGACAACTGCATGTTTTGCATCGCAGGGGGTTGGACTAGATGATCCTCAGGGTCCCTTCCACGATTCTGTGTTGATTTTGGCCACTCCACCTCACTCTCTCTGTATTTCCACTTTGGGCAGGAAGGAGCCAGGCCAGTTCTAGTCGCCTCATCAAACCAGCTCTTGGTTTGCCAAGATCAAATCCTTTATCATAGACTTTCCTCCATCATTCCTAGTTCAGCAATTTCTGATTTCTCTCTCCAAAAGGCTGCTCTTTATACGATTGGCCTCCTCCATCCAGATTCTCTATTTTTCCCTACGGCCATCTCACTTTAAGAAAGTTGTCCTGTGGAAGTTGCAACTGAATTCTCTTCTCTACTTTCCCCCACCAGCCCCCAAACTCCCTCTATGCTTTTTCCATTTTCATCCCCATGATACGAGGCGATTCTTAAGACCTCTAAAAATATTATCAAACTAGGAGAGAAAGGAGGCTGGATGCTTTTAAGTATCTGCTTCAAATACAAAGTCTTAAAATACATTTTTATTTCGTAAAGGACACCCTTCACATCTTGAGTTCTCAAACCATAAAATAATAACTTGTACCAACAGCACCAAGCTGTGCTAGATGCTAACTACTTTCCCTCCCGTCTTTTGACAGGCTTTACAATGGGACCCTGGTGCACAGACTGTATCGTGAGCTTAAATCATCCTCCTCACCAGAGAACCTGCTCAGTGCATCTCCAAAAATGTACCAGCTTTACAGCAACATGATACATATAGTGAAAGGTATAGCACCGCCAGACTTCTTCCAGAAAAAGAAGAAACCCAAATCGCGCAGGAAAAAGAACAATCAAACCACTGATCAAGGGCTGGATAAAAGAGAAAGCGCCATGTTGGAAACTTTGCCTTCCTGCAGTATTAACAACAGATTTGAAGCATTAATGGTGGAGAACTGAAAGCCCAGTCTACTAGAAAGAGGCTGTGTGTCCTTTGCGTTGAAGACTTCAGAAGACCTCTCTCAAAATGAGTCTTCAAGAAACAATGACAAGAATCATATGGTGCTATTATGCTTGATTTGCTGGCCAGTTAAGGTTGGTCTTAGTTACAGGAGGAAATGTCTTCTTACCTTTGAGTAGTACTATTGCAGTGAGTAGTCTGAGTGACTAGGGGTTTTACAATGTATTTTGTGCACATGCAAATCCTCACTATACCCTTCCCCCTCTATGGCCAATGACAAATCCCTGAAACCTGACTATTGATCACCCAATAGTTTTTACATGCAGTTCCAAGACTCATGTTTTAACTCCCTGTTGCCCCTCTCCCCCCATTGTTTTTTTATATACGTTGATGTGAACAATATCTGCAAGAAGGATTTTGTTTTTTCAGACTGGTCTTTTCTTGGCACTCCTACCAGTGTTTTACAAATATTTCACAATATACCTGATAAAAGTTTCCTAATACCTGGCAAATGTCCGAGGACAAAATCAGAATTTTGCTAGACAAGTTTCAGCAGATATGGCTGCATTTCCAAGGGGATATTTCTTAAGAGAGATTCATTCCCCTTCCCCAATAGATTTTTTAAAAAACAAACAGAGAAAAGCAATGGATAAGAACCCACTCTTCTTGTTTGTTCCCTCGAATACTAGGAAGACACTAATTACGTCTCATGAAACATAGTGGATAGCCCCAACATCCTTGAGTTCAATTTGAATAGAACGTGATGTCTAAATTTGCACAGGCAGTCATTAAAACAAACGAAACCACGTTTTAATCCTACCACTCAGAAAGTATGAACTGAAGGACACATATATTCAACCTGCTGTGTGCACTAAAGTTCATCATTAACAAAAAGCACACAGCATGTCAGTAAGGCCTTGGAAGTGACCTGCCAAAATCTTCTTGCAAAAATGTCATCAATGTAGGTGGTGGAAGGGAATAGTAGCCCATAATACTTGCAGCAGGCTGGAATCCAAAGTTGTCGCTGAGCGAAAATCACACCTATGCAAACACATGTGATGAGGTTTGGTGATTTCCCCCCCCTTCCAACCTATCATGCTGTTATTGAATCGACTCAGGATGGCCTTCAGAAGCCAGCTCCTCAGGGGGTCTGTGGTGGGATTGGGAAGCCAAGAAAGCCCTGGTTTGACCACAAAACACCATAGATCCTGACCATAGTTCACAAGTGATTCAGATCCATTCTTCATACAAAACAGTGAAGATTTGTTGTATACCAATAGTGATGAATTCGAGCTTTTTAAATAAAGTTTTTTCCCATTTGCATCAAATTACACTGAATGCATTACAAAAAAAATGTATAAAGAAACCAAGGGGAAATGAAATGAAAAGGGATGAAATGCATTAAAATGGGGAACACAGTAGATCGACTAAGTGCACTTCAGAAATACAGATGTTCTCATCTTGCTTATTAAAGGGAAGAAAGAAAACAAAGGCTCAGCTACTCATGGACTTGAACCTGATGTTAGGATGTAGTTCATCTGGGATCAGGAATGCTAAAGCAGGACAGGACATACAAAGCCTATATTTGGACTTACAGCCAATATTTGTGGAACCTCACTGGTCCAAGGAGTTCCTAGTTCAGCAGAACAGGAAGTTGTTAAATTTGGCCAAGTAAAAGATCTAGCTCACTGTGGAAGCGAAAAAATTCAGAAATCATTTTTCAGTTTGTGACCCAGCTTCATTTAAAATACCAAGTTACACATTCACACGTATTTTAAGAAAAGCAGACATTTACTTCAAAATTGCAATTATAGGCTTTTCAATCACAAAAAGGAAGAAAAGACAGTGATCCGACAGTGGTCACATCCTGTGCAAAGAACATAGGATACCTAAAAAATAAAAGCACAAGGTACACATTGCAGGATAATGTAAATAAATACAGAATCTGAAAATATGGCACTCTTGTATCTCACTCTAGACCAGATGGAATGCCTTGAATATTTCATAGTTAAGTCCCACCACCGTCATAAAAGTAAAGGGTTTCTTTAAATAAAAACTAAAATCTTTATATCTAATACACATTTCTATACATGTATATCTCTTAAGAGCAAAAGGTGGGCAAGACTTTTGACTTTTTTATTTTTAAAGTAGCCTCTCACACACTTACAAAGTTCCATACAATCTGAAAAGTAAAGTTTTGTCTTTGAGGAAAAAATATTACCAAAGTTGCATAATTGTTTATTACTCCCCTGGCTGGAAGATTTAGAATTCACCAGTCTTTAAAAATTGCCAGTGTTCATCCATCAGGGAAAAGGAGGGACTTGTCAAAAGCCCTTGTATCTTCTCGTGATAACTTCCTCCATCATACGACAGCAGTTTCTAGTTTTGCAAACGGAAAGAATGCAATGTGCATCATACATCAAGAAAAGACGGCAAAGACGAAGAACCGCCATGTTTCTGGGGCTTCTCCCTGCTCCTTTCAACCTTCTTTATAATCTCTGCTACTATACACACTGATGAAGTGAGTCCCAGAAGAAACAGCAAGTCTAAACCAAAAAAAAAAGAAAAAAGAAAGGTGTTTTTTCCCATTAAAAAACAGCAGAAGAATACAGGTATTGAATAACAGGTTTTCTTTTCTTTTCTTGCCAATGTTTATTCCTTTTCAAATTTATAACAAATCAAAACTAAATTAAAATTAATTAACTGAGTAGCTGTTTTTCAGCTAGCCAGAAATACAAAGCTATAATCAACTGTTTAGCTATGAAAAAACTTGGAGTCAAGCTGTTTGTCCTTTGGACTAACTTGCCAGATATTTTATGGTCATAAACAGAACAAATTCTTGCTGGCCTTGCTAGCTATGCCAAAACATCAGATTCCACACTTCTGCCCTTTCACTATAATCCCATGTATGCTAACAGAAGCAGGTCCCACTACATTCTAGGGGCTTAAAGGTAAAGGGACCCCTGACCATTAGGTCCAGTCGCGGACGACTCTGGGGTTGCGGTGCTCATCTCATTCTATAGACCAAGGGAGCCGGCGTTTGTCCGCTGGTCATGTGGCCAGCATGACTAAGCTGCTTCTAGTGAACCAGACAGCACACGGAAACGCCTTTTACCTTCCCGCCAGAGCGGTACCTATTTATCTACTTGCACTTGACGTGCTTTCGAACTGCTAGGTGGGCAGGAGCTGGGACTGAACAAAGGAAGCTCACCCCGCCGTGGGGCTTCAAACCACCGACCTTCTGATCGGCAAGCCCTAGGCTCTGTGGTTTAGACCACAGCGCCACCCGCGTCCCTTCTATGGGGCTTACTCCCAAGTTAACTGTGTACAGCCATAGTCTCTGATCTTCAGTTGTGCCTTTCAGAGCTGGGGGAAAGAGCAAAGGGCTGTTTGGTTATGGATGGTGACCGCCAAAAGACCAGACTTGTACTAGCCTTCTCTCAAGAGGGGAGTGTTGGGGCCAAGCTGGCCAGTTGCAGCCTTCCTCTCTAGTTTGGCAGCTGTGAGGGATCTTTCCTGTCATTGCACTGAGCCCTTTTAAATCTTAGTGCAATGTTAAGATGAGCACCACATCAGCTCTGAGCTAGACAGAAAGGTGGGGGTTCATCCCTTTAAACTGAAACAAAGCTACATGTCATAAACCCTCATTTCTGCTTTCACCCTCATCTTGGTCATACAGGCTCGAAAGCAAGAGCAATATTTCAGTGTTGCCATTATGTGAAAGATACAGTCGTACCTCAGGTTAAACGTGCTTCAGGTTGAGCGTTTTCAGGTTATGCTCTGCGGCGACCCGGAAGTAACAAAGCGCGTTACTTCTGGGTTTTGCCGCTTGCGCATGCTCAGACACTCAAAATGACGTCATGCGCATGCGCGGAAGCAGATGTGGGTTGCATTTGCTTCAGGATGCAAACGGGGCTCCGGAACGGATCCCTTTTGCATCCAGAGGTACCACTGTGGCTGTCAAGGGGGACAATGCTGAAGTTGCTCTTAAAAATGGAATTTCTGCCACCTTGTATCCACTCCAAAGTGTCCCCCCAAATCATTTAACTATATTAATGTTCTAAGTCTAAGCCCTATTTGTTAATGCCTTACAAAACAAATCACCAAGGAAATAATGTACTTGTCTATATCTGTTGGTTGTTGTCCGCTGAACAAGAAAAAAACTCTCACCTAGTATGCTTAGACTCTCAGTTTGAAAAACTTTCTGAAGAGGAGGGAAGTAGATTACTAGTAGCTGCCCCATGATCGATCCAAGCACTGCGTAACAGAACATTTTGTTGCTGCAGAGTCCAATCTCAAACACAGATTTAGTCTGCAAATAGAAACATAACATCTATGATTTTATTCTTGTGCATTCTAGTTATTTGAGATTATCCATCTTAACTCAAATGATAGGGTGATTACATACTCATCTATTAGCATTTTGGTAGCTTGAATTAAGTTATGGCTTTGAGCTACTTGCATCTGTGAAATTTTGACAATTTGCAGAGGTTGTTTTCACTTTTTCAAAATACCATATCTTTAAACACAGGCAGTCACATACCTGAGATCTGGAACTCAAAGCATTGAACATATCAAAAAATACAAAGCACGTAAACGTCATTGTTGTATCTCGAGGAGTTATGCCATTGTCTCGCAGCTGCAGAGAGACAGACAGAGAGAGAGAGAATTAATATATGCAGTTCTCTGCCACTTTACAATAAAACATTTTAAATTCCACCCAACATAATACTACGAAGCATCAGTCCTCTAGCCAAGTGTGGAAGTATCGCTATTATCTGATCTAGGCGCCTAAGAATTTGATACTGGCACCTAGAATTTTAATTTATTCCTCAGCTGTGTGTAGGACTGCTACCTAGAACTATAATTATTTCCTATCTTCCTCATACCATATCTGCATATATTTTTTTAAAAAATACAACCAGACCGTTTAATCTCTATTGCACACAACCTTTAAAACCTCTGCACGATTTACCGTAATTGCCAAACCTAAGTTTAAGATCAGTTGAAGTATATAAACATTGGCATTTTACAGTTTTTCTTTAATGCTATGGTGTTTTCTAACACTGGTTTTGAAATGCTTCTCCATTTGAAAAGCAGGTGGTCAGGCACCTCAATAACACTGGGTTCATGGACTTACTTGCATGGTTCTTTTGCACAGCCTATGTACTTTTATATTTGCAACTATTGGCATATATGAAGCACTGCAAGCAGATAATAAATAAACATTTTTTAAAAAAGCATCTTTGTCATACCTCTCGCCAGAAGACAAATAATGTTCCACATACAATAATTATAGATGAAACTAGTATTTTAACAATCAGATTTCTGGTCAAAATGCTATCCTTGACATTTCTTGGAGGCTTTCGAATAACATCTTTATCCACAGGCTCAACTCCAAGGCTAGAAATAAGAACACAAATAACTTTTTGAAAGTTTAGGTTGATTGAGGCATCATAAAATCAAATTAATGTAGACAGTGACTCAGACATACTCTTCAATAAAGGTTCATATGTGCCAGGGCAACCCAAACATTACTGCTTAATTATTATGACATAATTAACTATGATTAGTACTCGATCATGATTGGATGGATCCAGGCCAAGTAATTCACACTTAGTTCACAGTATTCCAATGCAACCTAAATTCAACTAACTGCCTGGATCAAACCTGCTAAGTGCCTTATACAACTGCAAAACTTAACATTATGATCTTTCCCATACCAATATTGCTTAAAAATGTAAATTTTCCTGAGTAGTTACCCTACGAGTCTACCGCTGACTACTTGTAATATAAAAAGCTTTTGAAAGCAAACACAAATGCAGCAACCTCTGGGAACCATTGTAACAACAAAACCGAAAGTAAGATATTAATTTTAAATCCTTAATAAGGCACCAACAAACACTCCATCAGACAGAAACCCCCATTTGGGAAATTGCCCAGAGTTTTTGCACGGAAAATAATTACTTAAGCAAATTATTCCAATTTAATATACTTTTTTAACAATATAATTTGATACACAAATCCACACAGAGGAAAAGCTCTGTGCAAGATTCTACTAACATTTCTAGGAGTTATACCATTCACAATTCTAGAGAGTTACACCATTCAGCAACTTCTCAAAAACTCTCAAAGGAAAAGTGTTACCTTTGAGCTGGAGGCCCATCCATGATAATGTTGATCCACAAGATCTGCATGGCATTGAGAGGATTAGGAAAGTTCATTAATGTGGCCAATGAGATTAATGTCAATGCAGCTATACTCCTGTTGAAAAAAGTTATTTTACACAGCTGTCAGCATCGCAATTTTTGGGGGGGAGGGAGTGGTTTTTAAAATTATTTGGAAATTTGTTATTAAACATTTCAAGCATCAGTAAGACCCACAATACATATGAGTAGCAAGTAAAACTTCATACACAGTAACAATCCAATTGTTTTAAATAGATCATGCAAGTTTTTGGGATGCTAAACATCAAGCAGACGTTAGAAAATATTTAGCCCAAGACAGCAATACAAGCCAAAAGGAAAACTGTCTCATCTCATTAAGCCTCCTCACTAGAGGCTGTATACTGTGTGCCAGACACAAAGTGTACTTTTGTTATAGAAATAAAAAAATAATTTAGGAGTGCCTTACATTTTAAAATGCCGAACGACTGATAAATCAAAACCCCTTCTTGTATAGACCATCTGTTGCAGTGGTTGGAAAATGTGTACCTTATCAGGGAGGCCAAACCATCATGAACTTTTGGACTTACAAGTTGCAGGAACTATTTTTAGATCTGTTCTCATTTAGCAACAAAGAACAACCACATGGCTCTGATAATTTCAAGTAAAGGGAACTGTTGCTAAAGTTAAGCTTTTACTATGCAGTTACTTGCTTAGAGTCCTATTTTCAAGCAATTATACCCCAATTTCGAACTAACTGTGCCAGAATGGATGCTGAATTTATTAGTGCTGTTAGAATTATGGTCAGCAATCCATTATGGCAATATAGCAAATAGTGTGCCATTTACAAATCACCGAGCTGAATTTATGTCAGTTTTGGTCATGCAAACTTCTGTGCAATTAATCTCAATCAAGCAGAATTCATAACAGGAAGCTTCTGATATTGTGCTGCAAAACTTACGTGCTGAGTTGAAATCTAACAAAATTTTTAATGTTATTATAAATTCCTTTACCCTCTTCAATTGCAGACCTGAAATATAAAAAGAAAAAAGTGCTTAGGAGGAAAAAACACATTCTGCAAAGGCACATTATTTGGATAGCATCCTGAAAACGCAACTCTTATTTCTTGCAATCTAACAGTAACAATAAATGGCTTCCCACTGCAAAACAGTATCAGGCAGTTTCAAAGTTTTTGGCTTTGTTCACTAAACACAAGTAAAATAAACATGCTAAATTAGAGTGATCATTTATCCTCAGTTGCCTGAGAAAATTTTCCCATTTAAAATTTTATAGAAAATCCACTAGAATAAAACCTCTTGTCTTTTAAATTTCACCTAAGTGGCTTTTTTTTAAAAAAAAAAGTTCAACGAGATGGCACTTATATATGCT